CCCTCCCAGCGCCCCTGCCCCCCACGTCCTTCCCAGCGCCCCCTCTCCCCGTCCCGCACCTCAGTGCCCTGCCCCCAGACCGCTCCATCTCACACCTGGATCAGGTACTGGCCAAGTGGGCCAGCTGTCTAATTGCAGTGTAGAGCTATACTGAGGCTAGGTCTACACTACGGGGGGGGGGAGGGGGGAATCGACCTAAGATACGCAACTTTAGCTACGTGAATAGCGTAGCTGAAGTTGCGTATTTTAGGTCGACTTACCTGGCTGTGAGGACGGCGGCGAGTCGACTGCTGCCGTCGACTTCGCTTCTGCCTCTTGCCGCGGTGGATTTCCGGAGTCGACGGCAGAGCGATCAGGGATCAATTTTATCGCGTCTTCACTAGACGCGATAAGTCGATCCCCAATAGATTGATTGCTACCCACTGATCCGGCGGGTAGTGAAGACGTGCCCTAAGAGTCGAAGTAGGTGATCTCTCTCTCACACATCATCCCCATCCCCACCACAAAGATTCTGCCCTTGCTGACTTCTGAGCAGTCCGAATGCTTTCACAGAGTTTTCAGAGAGTAGCTAATTGGACATGCAGTAGAACCTCAGAATTACAAACATCTTGGGAATGGAGGCTGTTCCTAACTCTGGACAAAACATTAGGATTCCTTTAAAAGTTTACAACTGACCATTGACTTACTACAACTTTGAAACTTTATTATGTGGAAGAAAAATGATGCTTTCCCTTTATTTTTTTTACTAGTTTAGTACTGTACTGTGTTTGTTGCTGCGTGTGTGTGTGTATGTGCGTGTGTCTCTCTCTCTCTGCTGCTGAGAGTTCATACATACTTCCGGTTCCAAATGATGTGTGTGGTTGGCTGGTCAGTGTGTAACTGGTGTTCGTAACTTGAGGTTCTACTGTACAATTCTGTTGATGAAACACAGGGACTAGAATCCATCTCTCTTAGCTGTGTTGGCTGTATATGGCTAACAGGACTAAAAAGCAGTAAAAGTTTACTTTTTGCCACTGAGCAGATTTAATTTTGAGAAAACAAAAGGAAAACATCTAATTGATATTTTTTTATTTATCAGTTTTCAGAGTGGAACTGTGCTTTGAGGCCTGATTGCACCAGGCATTGTACAAACACATAGACACGTTTGCTGCCCTGAAGAATTATAATTCTGGGAAAATGGGAGGGAGTTGCTGTCAGTTGTCTTCATGAGGAACTCCCGCCTTGGTCTGTCGGAGCCTAAAATTGTTAACTTTTCTGCCACTCAGCAAAGTCTGTCTATCTTAGGCCATGCCTACACTAGCGAGCTTACAGTGGCACAGCTGTCCTGATGTAGCTGTGTTGCTGTAAGACCGCTTGTGTAGCCTCTCTATGCTCTATGATGGTCAAGAGCTCTCCTGTCAACATAACAAAACCATCTCAACGAATGGCGGTAGCTATGTCTGTGGGAGAAGCTTTCCTGCCGACACAGCGCTGTGCACACAACCACTTATGTCAGCAAAACTTATGTCGCTTAGGGGTTTGTTTTTCACATCGCTGGGCGACATAAGTTTTGCCAACATAAGTGGTAGTGTAGATATGGCCTTACTCTGGCTATTAGCCCTGGTCCCAATATCTACACTACTGTTGTTACCCCTGTTAGCTAAAATAAAGTTAGCGTGGGTATGGCTGCCTGTACTAACACCTTCACTTGCAGTGTAGACATACCTTGGGGAGAATATGGGCTAAATATTTAAGAGCTACGGTTTCCTTTTGGCATTCTCGTGGGTTTTATTTTTGTGGTGAATAAATATTGTGTTAACGTTTGGGCCGGGGCGGGCAAACTTTTTGGCCTGAGGGCCGCATCGGGTTTCGTAAATTGTATGGAGGGCCGGTTAGGGGAGGGGGTCGTGGCCCGGCCCCCACCTCCTGTCTGCCCCTCCCCCCCCTAGGGACTCCTGCCCCATCCAACCCACCCATTCCCTGATGGCCCGTCTGGAACCCCTGCCCCATCCACACACCCCCGCTTCCTGTCCCCGGACCCCCCCCCGCCCCATCCAACCACCCCTTCTCCCTGTCCCCTGACTGCCCCCGGAACCCCTGTCCCCCCATCCAACCCCCCTCCTTCCTGACTGCCCCCTGGGACTCCTGCCCCCATTCAACCCCCTGTTTCCCTCTGACCATCATCCACACCCCCCGACCACCACCCTGAACTCCCCTGCCCTCTATCCAACCCCTGCTCCCTGCCCCCTTACCGCGCTGCCTGGAGCACTGGTGGCTGGCGCCGCTGGAGCTGGGCCATGCTGCCAACACGCAGCACAGAGCACCGGGTCAGGCCGGGCTCTGCAGCTGCGCTGCCCCAGGAGCTCTCAGCCCTGCTGCCCAGAGCATTGCGCCGGCGGCGGAGCGAGTGAGCTGAGGCTGCAGGGGAGGGGGGACAGCAGGGGAGGGGCCGGGGGCTAGCCTCCTGGGCCAGGAGCTCGGGGGCCGGGCAGGATGGTCCCGTGGGCCGGATGTGGCCCGTAGTTTGCCCACCCCTGGTTTGGGTGATCAAATTGTGTATTTCTTTTGGTGTTGTATATCTTAAATTTTAATTGTTCTAATGTGTTTGGGAAAGGTGGTTGACAAATTGAAATAAATGTAAAATAAATCTATTATTTGGCTCATTGTAAATCTTACAAAGAATGTGCTTGTTCAGACCTGCGGGGGATGGGGTTGGGGTGTGTGATATATATGCATCAAAAAGCGAAGAACTTACTTGACAGTTTGCTCTCTCTTCATGCTTTTTCTATGCAGATTTTCACTGCTGATATTCTTATTTTGAAAGATAAAATAAGTGGATTGTCATATTGTCACACAGAAAGGGGGTGTTTAGTGCTGTCACACTTCTCCCTGGTTCTGGTAGGCAACATGGCACTGAGCAAAAGTGTACCCAGATCTTTGACCTTAATAGCATTAGGAATTTTAGCAGTGTTCAGATGCAGTACATGGTAGGTGATTTAAGCCTCTTCTGCTTAGCGTATGGAGTGGAAGGGTGTCTGAAAATGTACAAATTGTGGCCAAGTTGCATATTGAATGCATTTGTTACAAGAGATCTGCATCGTTAATGTTTCAATTTATCTCTTGTAGGGAATATCTTGAAAATATAACGGCAGTTGGTCCCAGGACAGTTGGAAGTCCAGAAAATGAAATTCTCACAGTTAACTACCTCTTAGAACAAATTAAGACAATTGAAAGCGAAAGCAGTGATGCACACAAGATTTCTGTAGATATACAGAGGCCAACAGGCTCCTTCAGCATTGACTTCTTAGGTGGCTTTACCAGTTACTATGCAAACATAACTAATGTTGTGGTTAAGTTGGAGCCCAGAAGTGGAGCTAAGCATGCCGTGCTATCCAATTGTCACTTTGACTCTGTACCAAATACCCCAGGTAGGTGCATGTATTTACCTGTCTTTGTTGAACTTTTGTTGTCTTAATATGACAACTTATACCTTTTGGCTTCTAAAAGTTTTTCGTAATGAAGAGTAAGCAGCTTCTGTTTTGTTACAGCTTTTGGTGTTCTTTATGATGCTTTTTACAGCCATATACTAATAGGAGCTGCTTTTGGACAAAGTGATGCATGTTACATGAGCAACAGAACTGTTTTCATGCAGGGAATTTGTTCTAATGTTTTTTTACACACAATGTCTTTTACATCCACTTATAAGAGGACTAGCCATATCGAAGAGTATCTCATACTTGCAACAAATTACACAAAACATTTAGGGTGAAATTGTGACCCCATTGCAGTTAGTCAGGCCAGGATTTCACCCTTGGTCTCTGACATGAAACCATGAGTATTTTCCTGCCTGTGAATTCTGTGAATACATCTGAATTGCTCGTATTCCTCTGCATACTCCTCTGTATCGTGCGTTTTACTTACTTGGCCCAGATCCTTCAATGTTACTTTCCACTGATTCAAATGGACTCTTGTTATCCAAATCCAGCAGGGTTGTTTGATGTACTAGATATTTTTATATTTTTAATTAATAAAGTCTGCATGTGTATTTTATACAAATGTGTTAAATAATGTGATTGATTTGGTCCTGGTGGCAGCTAAGCTTCAATTGCAAGGGCTATAAAATTTCTAAGTGGAGGCTGTTTCCCTCCTAAAATCAAATCAAATTTTGTTTGCAGCAGCATGTAGTCAAACTATAGTTATTATTTTACTACCAAGTCTACTGTGGCTCAGCAGGCAACATGAATTGTTGCTTGTTTCAGGCAAAAATAGCTTGTTTTTACTTTGAGAGACCTGACTGCAGACTATAACTTCCAAGCTCTATTCAGCCTCTTAAAATCAAATCAGAGTATCTTGCAGCCTCTGCTGGTGGTAAATTTGCATGTCTCTTTAGCAGTTGCTACACATCCTACTCTGACTTGACTGGAAAATTAAACTATTGCATACCTTTAGACAAAGAGATACTACAGAGATTCCTATCTATGGAAAAACTGCCACCCAGTCTCTTCTCTCACTAGTCACCACAGATCTCTAATCGGAGGACTGAGAGATAATGCTTACAAACTGAGGGTTGGCCTTAAGCCTGCTTAGCATGACCATGGTGGTCAGGGGAAACGCTACAAAGACACATTGAAAGTGTATCTCAAGACAACTGACATGGACATCACAAGCTGGGAGGAGCAAGCTACCAACTGACCTCAGTGGCACCACATCCTCCATCAGGCAATAGCTTGCTTCAAGGAGACGCACCTTGCCCTTGAAGCTGAAAAGAGAGAGAGAGAGAGAGAGAAGGAAGGAAAAAGAAAGAACTTTCTCCCAGCAGGCAGCTGACGTGCCAGGAAATGTCTATACCTACTGCAGGCAGATCTGTGGTTCCAGACACGTACTCCTGAGTCATCTCAGGACTCATATGTAAATCTGTGGTAGAGATCATCCTCGAATCGAGGGATTGCCGATGATGATGCTTAGCAGTGTCCTTCTTCCCGGCCCTCTTCTCTCAAGTCATTACTCATGTGGCTGTTCCCTGCTAGGCCAATTACCCTTCCCACTTGCTGGAAACTCAGAGCTAAGCAGGGTAAATGGAACTTTCTCCTTGCCTCTTTGCTACATTCTCACTGAACTTCCTCTTAGATTGGCAGCTTAGTGCTGCTGTTCCTGGTTTCACTCAGCCTACCTAGGCCTCCTCTGTTGTCCTTATCTGGTAGGCAGAAAACCTGATGCTTTTGTGCATCTGGATGGTGCTCTTACTTGTCAGGGGCTTCTGGGAAGTGAGATTATTTTTCCCAAACCTAAGGTGGGTGTGACATTGCCCAGGCTACAAACTGGACCGTTGAACAGCTGTGTCCCCTTAGTTCTCTAGACTGGGGTGCTTTTTACACTGCATTGCTGTCAGAACATCCACTCCTGGCCTGCTCTCACAGCCTTCAGCATGCAAATTCACTCCTAACTAAATTCTTGAGCACTTTGACCTATCACTCATGAATTACATACAGGGCAACTCCTGCAGATTCCTAGTCCTAGCCTTGTCCCCCCAGAAATGTGTGGCTTGTATGGTTCAGTATCCTTCTGAACAATACAAGCTCATAGGAAGTCCATCATTTCATGAAAGGAAAATGATAATGCACGAACCTTGTTATCCCCGATGGAGTTTTCCATACTAATCCAAACACATTGGTTAAGATAAAACAATAAGATAAGTGTAGACAGATTTTAAGTGATTACAAGTGATGCATAAATTTCAGGATTGGTTCCAAAAAAAAAAAAAGGTAAAATGCAAGCTAATACCTAACTTACCAAGCTAAGTGAACTTAAAAGCAAATGATTTTGTCTCACCATACGCTGCAGTAAATTTCACAGGCTGGGTTTCCTTTCAGACTGGGACTCCTCCCCCTTAGTTCAGTGTCCTTCAGGTATTCTTTAATGTCACGAGCAGAGAGATTGGAGAAGTGAGTTGAAGACTACTGTCTCACATTCTTATGCCCCCCTCCCCTCTGTGAGGACTACACCCTGCTGGGGTGCAGGCGACAAGCAAACTTTTGTGGGTGTGAGGTTTGAACCATTCTTATGATGCAATATACATTTCTTATTCACACCTTCCCTCTGCTGCAGAATGGCCACTTAGGCAGGTGATAGCTTTTCAATGCCAGTGTGTCTTTGTCTCTGAAAAAACTGGTTTGTGGGCTCTACCCAGAGTCACAACATATTTCAGTAACAATCATACAGTAGAATCTTTTAACTTCACTTATAGTGTTGCTACACATTTCATCAGGATAATGACATTCAGCAGATTCTGACTTTTCAAATGAAACCTCACAAGGCATACTTTATACAAAATTTATCATAGTCTTGTAAAAGTGGTGAACATAATAGTATAGCCCGTCAGTGGGTGAATAAGGTTGCCAGAAAAGGAGCCGTGCCCTAATGGACATAAGGTCCATGAAAAAGTAATGATTCTTTTCTGCAGACTTTCTTATGGGCTCAGGGATTGGAGTGTACCTATCACTGACCTGCAAAGGGACAGTAGAGTCTGTCTAGGCTGAGCGGGGAGTACTTGTGTGGCCAGTGGAGTTAGGAAGTTGAAACATGGCTGCACAGATCAGACTTCCTCACAGATCAGACTTCCTCACAGCAGTGGTAGTGAGGTGCCTCACAACCTTGGTTACCCTTGGGAAATGTCACAGTTCTATGCGTAAATCGGCTGTGAGGAGTGGCTTGGTGGAAGGGGAAACTGCATAGTTCCATTCTGTCATAGTTCCTAGTGTGGACCAGACTGTGCATGCACCATTCTCATAGAGTGACTGAGTATGTTCCTTCCAGCCTAGGGGTACAGGCATGAAGCTGGGCTTTCCCTTTAATTGCAAGCTGCTCTGGGCATGGTTAGGGCTGGGCACGGGAACTTGAGAGCAGGGAGCCTGTCTCTCCTGTGCTCTCAGTGCTGACACTAAGGCAGTGTAGAGTAGGAAGCTGTCTGACCTGAAATCTGGAGCTGGGGGAGGGAAAGGAGCAGATGGGGACAAGGAGTCTGGGAAAGTGGAGGCGGAGAGAACTGGGGAGGGAAATGTGGAGGTAAGGGAGGACTGGGAGCCAGATAGCTGGAGAGGGGGATCACAGAGGTCGGGGGGAGGGATAGCTCAGTGGTTTGAGCATTGGCCTGCTAAACCCAGGGTTGTGAATTCAGTACTTGAGGGGGCCACTTAGGGATCTGGGGCAAAATCAGTACTTGGTCCTGCTAGTAAAGGCAGGGGGCTGGACTCAATGACCTTTCAGGGTCTCTTCCAGTTCTATGAGATAGGTATATCTCCATATATTATTATTATTATTAGACTAGGAGCTGGGGGGGACATTGGAGCAAGGAGCCAAGGAGGGTATGTGTGAGAGGGAGACTGAGACTGGATGAAAAGCCCAGGCAGTGAAACTAGGATTAGGAGCAAGTGTTGGCAGAGAAGGGAGACATCAGACAAGATGCGAAAGTGGGACAAAGACTAGGACTGGCTGGGCAGGGAGATTGGTACTGGGTAGTGAAGGAGAATGGGACTGGGACAAAGCTTTGGGGGAGGGGAGGAGGAAGAGGTATGACAGGGACAGGTTGGAGGGGATGGAGCCATAGGATCAAGTTTGGAGGGAATGGTCAGAACAGTGTGTGTCCACTCAAGCACACACCCCTCCAGAACCTGAAATGAAGCTTGAGATCCCAGAACTTTGCTATTCCTTTGCCATCAACAAATACCTGTGAAAACCAGTGTCTCACCTGCCTCTACTGTTGGTCCACATGGACTCTGATGACCTACCATTGCTATCAGTCACTCCATTAGCTCAAGGGGAAGCTGTGTAGTAGATTTAGAGGTTCCAGTTCTGAGGAACCATGTGGGTGTCAGCATGATACTATATGACAGAATTTCTGCTTTTTCAGTTTGCTTTTCTAAAAAATCTAGGAAATTGCAACACAAAAACTATGTTAAAAGAACATGATTAAAATTGCAAAGTTAACACTCAAAAAGTTAGGAAATGCCAGAGTGACGTTAAGCCCCCATATTCTTCATAGAAATATTATGATATGAATGTGGCATAACTAAGATATGTTTTATGGAAGATGGGTCATGTGAGGAATTTGAAAGGTTGTAATTTACTGTATGTAATTATCCAATTTGTATGCATGTATCATTTCTGTATCTAAAGTTAGGAATATTGACTATGTAACAATTGCAACTGTGTATACTTGGGGAATGCCCACCAGACAGTATGCAATCAGCCTGGATGGGCCATTAGGAAAGACAGTGGGTCTTTGAAGATGCTGATCTCCCATCTTCCCGGAGTTCCTTCCTGTGGATGTGGCCATATATTGAACCATGAGGAGACAATAAAATATTGACTAGGTCCTCATTAAGGGAAAATAGTCCATCCTATACACTGAATGAGGCAGGGGCCCTATGGAAAAGGTAGTATGTAATTAAGGACCATGAATGCATGTTTCTGGCATTTCATAACTTTTGAGTGCTTGACTTTGCAACCCTAATAATGTTTTAATGTATGTTTTTTGTATGTAATTATTTAAATGTTTCTGAATAAATATGTTACAGAATTCTCTTTGGTTTACTTCTATGAAGAGGCTTTTTGTTAGTTTTCACATTGAGTACGCTCTATGTCAGTGGTTCCCAAACTTTTACAACCCGCGAACCCCTTTCATGAAAATACCAAAACTCGCGAACCCCCTCCTAAAAATGAATATTTCCAGGGATTTTCTCCCTTGTCTGAGCATAAATTATAGAAGCAGTGATCTTGGAAATAATTTGTTTTTTTATGACACGCTTATTACACACTATTTATTATTACATTATTTATCACATTATTAATTTTATTACATTATGAAAACGGCAACACTCTTCCAAGATTTCACTTTTGTAGCTCATATCACTTCAAAAAAGCCTGTTATAGGACAAGTCTACTACATGTTTCATCAAAGAGTACCAGACATGAACCAGCATGAAGGTATTTAAGAAGCCAATTCAAATAAAGAGTTCCTTCCACAAGCATTTGGGTCTTGAGCAGCCCAGGCAAACAATGCACGACTATACCAAAGCTTAAACTTGTTCTTCATAATAATTTAAAAAACAACACTAGCAGCCTATTTAATTTTAGAAACAGCAAAAAATATCCACCTCCCTTTCCATTTCTCATAAGACGTCTTAAAGCTTAAATGGATGCGCTTGCTTTGATCTGCATAGCTCTTGGAAGTCCAGAACCACTGGAGAAAGATCAGGTCTGGTTCAGCACTGAGTTTGCTTCTGTATTCGGTTTTCAGATGTGCATACGAGGAAAATGCTTTCTCGCATAAGTTTGTTGAAAACAGTAACAAAACTATAGTAGCTTTTTCTGCTAGCACGGGGTACTCCTTTCTTAAACTCAACCAAAAGTTGATCAGTGACTGACTTCTGAAACTCTTTTTCAGTTTGTAATCACAGGAAATCTCAATCAATTTCTCTTTTTCTTCAGTGCTCAATATCGGCATTGAGAAAGTGGTATCATCAAAAGGGTTGCAAATCCAGTCATTATCGCCTGACATAGCTGAAAAGTATTCCCTGAACGTTGTGCAAAGTCCTTTTAGGTGTGCAATTATATTGGTTTTAGTGCACTGATCCAACTGAAGTTTATGTTCTGCCAGGAAGTCATGAAGAGTACTGAAACACTCAGTTTGATTGTTTTCCAAACACCTTTCCCAGAACTGCAACTTCTTTATCATGGATTCAACTTGGTCTTGCACGTTGAAAACTGTTATATTGAGGCCTTGAAGAGACAAATTTAGGGCATTAATCCTCAAGAAAATGTCTGCTAAATAAGCTAGGCTCTGGAGCCAGACATGATTTTCCATACAGCTGTCAAGGTGGAAAGGGTGGCTGCTGGAAAAAAAACAAGGATTTCCGTTCTAAGCTCAAACAAGCTGTCATAACTATAAAGGGAAGGGTAACAACCCTCCTTTGTACAATACTATAAAATCCCTCCTGGCCAGACACACCAAAATCCTTTTACCTGTAAAGGGTTAAGAAGCTCAGGTAACCTGGCTGACACCTGACCCACAGGACCAATAAGGGGACAAGATACTTTCAAATCTTGGTGGGGGGAAAGCATTTGTGTGCTCTTTGTTTGGGGGTGTGTTCGCTCTTGGGACTAAGAGGGACCCCGGACATCAATCCATGCTCTCCAAATCTTTCTGAACAAGTCTCTCCTATTTCAACCTTGTAAGTAACAGCCAGGCAAAGCGTGTTAGTTTTATCTTTGTTTTCTCAACTTGTAAATGTTCCTTTTGCTAGAGGGTTTACCTCTGTTTGCTGTAACTTTGAACCTAAGGCTAGAGAGGGTTCCTCTGGGCTCTTTGAATCTGATTACCCTGTAAAGTTATTTTCCATCCTGATTTTACAGAGATGATTTTTACTTTTTTCTTTAATTAAAATTCTTCTTTTAAGAACCTGATTGATTTTTCATTGTTTTAAGATCTAAGGTTTTTGGATCTGTGTTCACCAGGACTAATTGGTGAGGGTATACTCTCAAGCCTACCCAGAAAAAGGGGGTAAGGACTTGGGAGGGAGGAATTAGTCTCAAATCTGCCCACGATGGGGCGGGGGTTAGAGACTTGGGAAATATTTGGGGAAAGGCAGAGTTCCAAGTGGCTCTCCCCTAAGATTTGGAACACGCTTGGTGGTGGCATCTTACTGTTAACCTAAGCTGATAATTAAGCTTAGGGGGCTTTCATGCAGGTCCCCACATCTGTACCCTAAAGTTCAGAGTGGGGAGGGAACCTTGACACAAGCGCACAAAGATTTTGCCATGTGAGAGCCATCTAACTTCGGTATGGGACAACAGACAGTTGTGTACACTACCCATTTCTTCACAAAGTACGTGAAATATTCTGGAATTTGTTGGCCATGATTTTATGAAATTCACTATTTTCACTGCATTGTCCAGCACTTCCTTCAGTCCCTCAGGCATGCGTTTTGCTGCGAGGGCTTGTCTATGGATACTGCAATGAGTCCAAGAGACATTTGATGCAACCTTTTTTGTTTGAGCTACAAATCTGGTCTACTTCCCCGTCATTGATGTGGCCCCATCAGTGCAAATGCCTAGGCAATGAGACCAATCTATTTCCTTTTCTTGAAAATATGCATTAGTCAGATTGAAGATATCTTCTCCAGTTGTACGTTCTTTCCATGGTCAGCAAAACGACCAGTTGTCTTCAACCAGCCCTTCATTCACATAACGTACAAACACTAGCAAAATAGATTAGCATCATCAGTTGATTCATCCAACAGTATAGCATAATATGGACTATTTTTCACTCTATGAACAATTGTGGTCTCTACGTTACTTGACATGTCACGAAAAATTAATGACAACTTATTGGACAAAGGTACTACGTCAATTCTTTTTGCAGCCTTTTCTCTGAGCATGCAATGAACTATGTCTTTTATACATGGACCAACCAAGCTCTCTGCTATGGTATGGGCTTCTGATGCTTTTGCTACTCGGTAGCTCACTTAATATGATGCTTCAAGTGCATTTTCGTTATCAGTACTTGCTTTGGATACAAAACTGGTAATGTCACTTTTCCACTCGACTAATTTTTGCTTGAAAAAATCAACAGGCTTGTCAAGTTGTGCGGGGTGCCTAGTTTCTAAGTTGTGCCGAAGTAGAGAAGGTTTCTGGCTGCTGTTTGCTAGATCACCACCACAGATTATGCACTGTGGTTTTGGACATTTTTGATCACCAGTGCACGTAAAGCCATATTTTATATAATCGTTGTCATATTTTCTTTTCTTCAAAAGCAACTTTTCAGGACCATCATGATCATTTGACTTAGATTTTCCACGCTTCGGACTTGACGAAACACTAGCTGATGTCGAACGTTCATTTTCTCATGTCTTTACACTTTCCGTTTTCAGCCACTTGTCCATATTGGGTGTACAACAGTTCAAATAAAAATAACACACTGGAACGCTAACAAACGAACAACCTAGTAAATGAGAAGATTCACTCATGTCTCATTGGAGCAAAACAGCACGCTACAGAGAATGACTGAGTATGGACTAACTGAGGGTCGTTACCGCTGCTTTGGTTACAATGACTTTGGTTCCGGCTGATTTGGCGTGCAAATACTTTTTCTTCTGCCATCAGGGGGGTGCGGGGCCAGGGATTAGCTTGGACGGACCCCCAGGTGCAGCGTGGCTCCCCCTCCCACTTTGCCCCTCATACTGCCCAACTTCTTCTGTCTGCCAGTGACAGGGTCTCAGCTGCCGCCTGCACGCCCGGGGTCCTGGCTGCTGGCCCTGCGCTCCACAGGGCTTGGGCTGCTGGCCCTCCCGCCTGGGGTCCCTAGGGACAGCTCTGTCCACCATTACAGATTTTTTTTCTGAGAACCCCCGACACATTTCGCGAACCGCAGTTTGTGAACCACTGCTCTATGTTCATGTTTGTTCATGTAATGATTAAGGATAAACAACCCACAGACTTAAAGGTTACTTTACTTGTGCAGCGTGGTGACATGCCAAAAGCTAACTCTCACCAGAAGCTGGATTATTATGCAAGTGCTTTTAAAATATTTGAAACTTTTTATTTTAAGAGAAGAATGAATATTTGGTCCAGTATTTTAAAACCATTTTACACTGTTTCCTCTAGCACTATTTTTTGCACAGATTTATCTAATATCGCTGCAGGTACAATTAATATAATTTATTATGAAAATATCAGAACATAAATATTAAAGGAACATACTTGACTTTAAATCTGTTCAGTTTACTTTTAACAATTTTTTTTTTAAATCTTAAATACTATATCTGTCCCCGAGTCTAGTTGGCAATTTTTGCTTTTAAATGTTTTTTTCTTTGTCATTGCTGTAAATGACTTGTATAAATACAGGAAACTGATTATGCAAGGGGAAACACTGAAACTTCATTTGTTTGCACGTTGTGTATAGTCAGAATAAAATTACTAAGGAATAATATATTTTTTAAAATCTTTGTTGTAGTGTTATGACGTGTCACTTGTAATAATATTAGGTTTTCAAAAATGAGGTGGATGATGTATTCTTTAAATATGTTTAAGTAGTTAAGGATCAAGTTGAGGGGACAGGTCTTAACCATGTTAAAAATCTCACATTAGCTACTCTGTTCCACTTATTAAGGTGCCAGTGATGATGCTGTTAGTTGCTCAGTGATGCTTGAAATACTGAACACTCTCTCAAAGTCATCTGATCCCTTTCAACATGCTGTCATATTCCTTTTCAATGGCGCAGAAGAAAATATCTTGCAGGTAAGATTAATTAGTATGCCAGATTTATAAAACATGCATAATCGGAACCCTGAATTAAAGATGATTGACAAAGGAAATAGTAATTATAGGTATAACTTGTATTTTACAAGTCTAAATGTCAGTTACAGATGTTAATCTGCTTTTCAATTATCTGAGGAAAAGCTACTTGCTACTTAAAATTAACTTTATACCTGAATTATGAATGCTCACAATGTTGCTTTAATGAGTAGGTTCCTAAGTGTTGCAAGTAAGATGCAGCATCATGTGTTGCTCAGCTCAGAGGACTGAGACTCTCGACTCTTGGGTTCTCCCCAGCTCTACCTCTCACTGGTGTGAAGTTGAGTTTAAAAAAAAAAAAAAAGTCAGTTCTCTGTGCATCATTTATATTTGTTTTCAGATGGGTGAAATACTTAACTCCCAGACTTAATATTTGTAAATGTTTTGATTTCCTATGACAGATGTTACAGAAGTGCAAATTGATTATTTTATTTGTTTGCTTTAAAGTGTCTTTTGTCACGGTTGGCAAGTCACAAACTGATGTTATAGCCATTCGTTTCCTCCTTTGCCCTCCCCTGAAAAAGTATTTTAATGCTGTATAACTTTCTATCAGTGAAAGTTAACAGACCTTGTAACTCTAAAGGCTCATCTACTCTACAGGCATGATTCTCACTTAGATTAAGGTCACTTTTTTACATAATTCTGGAAGTGTAAAGTAGTCTTAGTGCTCAATTTACATTTACACTACAAGTCTAACCATACTAGTGTACTGTTATGGAAGTCTGTGTATTGTTATGTGGTTCTTCATTTATAATTCAGGTGGAACAATTTGGTTAGTAAGCCATAGTAGGGAACCTGTTGCATTCATGATAATCAGTAGTAATTAGCTAAATATGTTTTATTTTGTTATTACAAAAACAGATCGAAAACACCCTAACTATGCTAAACTATTGTTTGTAGGCATGTAAGCTCTTTGAGATAAACACTGTGTGTCTGTGTTTGTAAAGGGCCTGGCTGATTGGACTTTCTAGTATGTAATGATATACATATTAAATATGTGGATTGGACACCAAACAATCAACATGAACATAAGGGTTTTTGAGGGCATGAAGAAAGAGGAGACTTGGTGGTGGTGTCATGGATGCAGATGAGTGAATTCTGTTATGTTGATGGCGGCTCTTCTCTGTGCTCTCAAGTAAACTTCTGGCTTCACCTGAATGCACCTATGATCTTTCCCTGTCAAAATCTGAATTCTAGGTGCCTCTGATGGAAAATAATCTATAGGCTTTGTCTTAAAGATGTTTGACCTATATCTTCTTTGCTTCCTGTCAAGGCTAGTCATGGCTTCATTACACAACACCGCTGGGCCAAGTCGATTAGAGCATTTATTAACCTGGAGGCAGCAGGTGTAGGAGGGAAAGAGCTTGTGTTTCAAACAGGTATGATCATGCATTACATTTCCCACTTGTATACATGAGTTGGTTGTGTTTTATTTAGAACAAAAACAAACAAACTAAAGCTTTCTTATTAGAAACAAACTTCTTAGAGAATATTGCAAATAACCCATGAGGTCGATGAGAATAAATTTCACACCATGCAGAATCCCTATCATATCCTTACCTTACAGATAACGTACTATTGAACAGGTTTAATTACCCTAAGGCTGTGGCACAAGCAGAGACCGTCATTGTGAAGACATGAGGCAACATGTCGTCTTAATGCCAATTTTTTGGTACTTTTTTCCATAATGAATTTAAAATGGAATATTGGCTTTAATCTTAGTTTCCTGGCTCTCATCTGTCAACCTTAAATTTTTAACCATAAAATACACTTTGGGATCCTTTAAAATTCCATCTAACTCCTTTGAAAAAAACACAACTGTTTTATGCTGTGAAATTCACAGGCAGAAAATCCTCTGCAGCACAGCTGGGGCTTTAATGGCAGCAGTTGTAGTTCCATTTTGTGTTGAAGTAGTTGGTACAAAACAGATCAGTGGAATGGTGGGATAATCCTGATGCTGTACTTCCTAACATCTTAAATGAGTGCATTTTGTTTTTTCTGTTGGAAGCACAAACCTGGTTCTTTCCAGAGCTTTCTGCTGACCACAGCTCTGCAGAAATATAAATGGGCTGGTGATAAACTTCTGTTGTGTCCTGGTTGGGCTGCAGATTTCCCTCTGCTGCACCAGTTTATATATTGGTTCTACGGAAAACTTCAGTAGAGAGTTTTTCGAAACAATGAATTTGACATATTGCTGGAGAAATAATGTGGGAGCGGAGGAGTCTCCCAAACATATCCTTAGGTAGTGGGGAGGAGGGTCCGAAAGCATTGAAAAGGAGACAGTCAAAACAAAGCCCTAAAATATGAAACATATCAAAATATTCAGATTCCTGCACTGACACTTATTTTTCCTAAGAATTACTTGATATCTGCCTAAGGAACAATAGAGGCCTTGCTGTGCTTGAGTGCATTAATCCATGCTACTGTGTTGTCATTTTAATGACTATACACATTATAAATGACTCCTGTATATCCAGTTATTACATTAAAGGAGCTCTTGAATTAAGTGTTGGTTAGAGCAGAAGTTTTCAACCTCTCCAGACCACTGTACCCCTTTCAGGAGTCTGATTTGTCTTGTGTACCCCCAAGCTTCCTCACTTAAAAACTACTTGCTTACAAAATCAGACAAAAATACAAAAGTGTTACAGAACACTATTACTGAAAAATTGCTTACTTTCTAATTTTTATCATATAATTATAAAATAAATCAATTGGAATATAAATATTGTACTTACATTTCTGTGTAGTATATACAGCAGTATAAACAAGTCATTGTCTGTATGAAATTTTAGTTTGTACTGACTTCGCTAGTGCTTTTCATGTAGCCTGTTGTAAAACTAGGCAAATATCTAGATGAGTTGATTTACCCTTTGGAATACCTCTGCGTACCCCCAGGGGCACATGTACCCCTGCTTGAAGACCACTGGGGTAGAGTAATGAACCTGAGACAGGAAGTCAGGAATGTCTGAGAACTGTTCCCAGTTTTACCAGTGACTCACTATGTCATCATCACCATATTACTTAATCTATTTCCCAGTCAGTGAAGTGGGAGACTAATACTGCTAATACCTCTTCAAGAGTTTTGGGGATTTGGTAGAAGTTTATACATTGCTTTAAAGATCTAAAGTACTAAATGAAGGCTAAATATTACTACCCTTCAGATGAAGTAAGAAATACTCCCTTAGGGGAAAGTGATTTACTTTGTTATGCATTTTCAAACAGTTATGTCTCTTACTTCCTTTCCAGGTATTAAATTGATAATTAAATGCATTTAAAGAAATGGTTCTTGAAAAAATGCTTAACTTAATCTTCTCCTTTGACAATAGAGGTGTTCCAAACAGCATTTAAAAAGTGTTGCTGACTTGTTTAAACTAATGTAATCTTCTGAAATGCTGGCATCAACAAACTTCTGTACTAAACGGGAAAGTATTTACAAGATCAACAAGCAAAAAGCCAGGTGAATCACTGCAGAAGTGCTCTGTGTGCTGGGAGTAGCCAAGAGGGCCCATTGTCACAACCAATGCCATGATTTCAGTATAAGATTATTAATCTAGTCTGGAGAGACAAAGAGAGAGGTATTTCTGGAAGGAGTTTTAAAACGAAGAAGGGCATTTCAAAAAACCTTGTGCTATTGTGCCACTAGTTCACCCTGTTATGTTACTTCTAAGGAGAGTTAAGTGCTCCTGTCACTATAGATATTCAAACGTGAAATTAGTTCTCAGTCCTCCAGTAGAACGTAATGATAACACTCTAACTGACTTCAGTGCGAGCAAGATATGGCTCTTGAGGCTGTTCTGTAGGGAACAGTACTGATTGGAAGTGAAAGAGATGGACTGAATGATCTGACGGCTCTTCCATTAACAGTGACATGGGATTTCAATAAGTGGTGACTATTTACAATGGTATTGACTGTTTCCAGTACATGGTGCTAACAGTTTGTAGCACAAAGTCAGTGGTATGTAGATTTAAATTAAAAAAAAAAAATAATCAAACTTGTAACTGCTTTAAACAGCTGACTAAGGGGAAGAGTAGAAAAAGCATATCTGTTTCAGTGAATTCTTGAACTTCTCCTAAGCCCTTCTCTCTCCCCCATTTCTTTATCACAGTGAACTACACAGTAATCTTTTCTCTGTCTTTGAAGCTTGTAATCTTGGCATCTTCTTTGACTGAGCCCTCTCCTTTGACCAACACATGTTTAAACCTTGCTGATTCTTCCTGTACAGAATCTCCAAGATCCTACATTTTCTCTTTGCTCACACTGCTAAAACTCTAGTCCATGCCGTGATCATCTTCTGCCATGATTACTGTTAATACCACCTCTCTGGCACTGAAGCCTGCAGCTTCCCCCACTCAAATCTATTCAGAATGTGGCTGCTAAGATACCCTTCCTGGCTCACTGCTCTGTCAGGCCCATCTGAAGTCCCTTGACTGGCATCTCCTCTTCCAGTGCATCAAGCAAAAACGTATTGTCCTTACTTTCAAAGTCCTCCACAACTTTCCCCCAACCTACTTAGCCAGGCTGTTATCACAAGGTCATCTCTTGGCACCACTCGGCCCATGATGCCAGCCTCGGTTGCCTGACTGTGCGAGCACTTTCAGGCTTTCTCTCTCGTACTTCATCTTATGAGTGGGGGAAAAAGCTCAGAATCAAAATCTATAAAGCTGCTTGCCACCTTATCATTGTCAAAACTTGCCTCTTATGTAATGCATACCATAAATAACAGCCTGATAATGGCTAGGAAAGTGGTGAGCTGTAGTCACTGCTACTAAATGGCTAATTGTGCTCATGTTATATTTATCTGTTATCCTGTTTCCCCATCCTAGCCTGCTTATTTGTCTCCTCTGCCTGTGATATCTTCTTAAAAAAAAGGGGGGGGGGCAGCTTGTAGGTGGATTGGAGTGGGAACTGTCATTTTTGTACAGTGACTAGCACCATGGGGCCCAAATTAATTGAGGCATCTATGTGCTACTGCTATATAAATGTTTATTGATCAACAATATGTCCTAGAGAGATACTTAGATTTATAAATTATAAAAAGAGACTGTAGTTTTAGGCCCAGATTAGGAAGGATTTTGGTTTGGGGGCAGGAGGAGGCTTTTGTAAAACCTAATCAAACCATCCTTTCATCTTGGATTAAAACCTCTCCAGAAGAATGTGTAGGTCAAACACTGCATCACTGTGCTATTGCACAAGAGTCAGAAAGTGAAACTGATTGTAATCAAATGAGATTTTTTTTTAAGTTGTGGTAGGGACCACAGTGCTAAATTCCCCAGTACCTCTGTCTGCTCTATGCTGTTCTGATGGTGTGAAGAATCCGTAAACCTGCCAATTGAAGAATCCCCTTTGCCTGGGGAAACCTAAGGTGATGTAGAGCCATGGTAGTGGCTCCCGGCCTATGGAGCCAGCCCCCGAGGGTGCTCAAATCCATGTTGGGATCTGCATGGTGCAGAACTGGCATCAAGATAGGGGTGGGGTGTAGTGTAAACATAGTTTAAATAGGGGAGCAAATTTTGGTTGGACTTATTCCTGGAGGTTTCATCACATGACATAATCTTTAATTAAAGTTTAATCTTTAATTCCTGGGGACGCCAGGACAATCCTGGAGGATTGGTAACACTAGGCTTAAAGCCACCTTGGCTGACTTCCTTCCTAAGCTGTGCTCAGTGCTGGGCTAAAATGGGCTAGGTGCTTTGCTAAAACATAGGACACCATGCTAGCTTATTTCCAGTGTCCAAAATGAACAAAGTATAAAAAGTAAAAATGGTTTAAATAGTGAAAAATAAATTAAACATGCAATTCGAAAAATCCTTGTTCGTAATAATGTCACAGGTAAAGACTTGTGTACTACTTGAATCTTTTGTATGGTGATGTCTTAAGAGATTTACTGAATGACATTAGTAATCTTATGTTAAATCCTCACAGTTTTCAAACAGTTTATTTGAGATTGACTTTAATCTCTCATGATGAACGGGCTTTAACTTGTTTTTAAACACTGAGATTAGTGTTTGTTGCATGGGAAAATGGGATTTGAGCATTGTGAACTGGAGATGTGCAGTAATCCAAACAAGATCTACCTTACTGTTTTATGTTGAACCTATAATCATTGTATCTAATCACTGATACAGTTGTGATTAAGGCTGGTTGTTTGTCATGGGAAACATTTTAGTTTAAAAATAAGAAGGTCATAAAAGCATATAAATTTCCCTTAGGAAATTATGAGATAAGAGAAGGATTTACAATAAAATTGATAATCATGTGTCATGGATCCACAAAACACTCTATGCCTCCAACCAGCGTTTATATGGTGTCTCTGGGAGTGTAATTGTCTTTTTTCCTAGGCCTCCCCTTTTTACAGGGGACAGCCCTGCCACTCAGCTACTCCAAGACTGGGTCCCTGGCTTCAACACCTCTTTTTCTCACCATGGCTCCTTCAGCAGGTCCAAAAGAGCTCAAACCCCTACTGGAGACTTGCCCTCTTGGGAGGTCTGCAACTAGCAAATGTTTGCAGCAACACAGGACAGCCGTTTCAAAACAAGATATCATTTATTAGTCAACTGTAATATAATATTTAGGTCCTTAGATTAGAATGATAAAGCAAAGCCTACCTACATGTGTGTGCTGCAGCACAGAGTGCATGTCTTGCCCAAACATCCGGGATTTCACTCTCTACTGCACTGGGCAGCAGCATTCTTATTATAGTCTAACATCTCAGTTCTTTGTTTCAAGCTCCAGTCACACTTCTTTCACATGTTCAGCCTGCCTTGGCTGGCAATCATTAAAAGTTGAAGTCGGCTGTTGGTCTTCCATTATACCTCCACGGTAACACCATTCATATGTTGATGGTTCTTGCTTGATCATGCATATACCTACTGATGCACACGCAGCCACTTCATTACTTTCCCTCTGCCCTATGATAGAAATTAGGCCCTTCAGACCCTGTGGCCAAAAAAATGTATGACTCCATTTCCCTGATCACTTTTGTATTAATTTTTTAAAAATAGAGAAGTTTCCCGTATTTTTCATGACCTCTTCTTAGTTACTAATATTCCATTATGCTGGATGTATAGAGAATTATTTGTAAATGAATGCACTAAGAAGTGGGCTGGTTGGAATGAAGGACAATGGCATGAAAAACCCTACAAGTCAGTTTTTTTTAATCATAGAGGTCATGGCTCTCAAAGTCAACATGATATAGATATGATCCTGATGAAACTGAAGTTTCCTCTTTCTTCCTGTCCACTTCCAATCTGGTTTACAATCCTTATTCTCAATCTTATGCTCTCACACAGCAACATATTTGAGATATTAACTAAGGAGCAGCATGAAACTTATTTAAGGGAGAAACTGTGGAAACACAGAAGAAAACAGTTTTCCATTCAGGTCTGTTTTTATGGGCGAACACTGATACTTAATCCAGAGACTGTCTAGATGTAATTGAATGTGCCTAGTCCTTCCTTGAGTATTTGCTTTGTTTTGGGGTAGGTGGGTTTAGAATCTACTCCTTCATATCAGGTAGACCTGCCTACAAGATGCACTTAATTAAGATGTTTCCCAGGAATCAGATATTTAAGCCCAGCGATGCCTCCTCTTAGCAGCCTTCACTCCTTTAGTTTTGATCTTGTATATGATTCTCCAGTTTTTGTAAATCTCTTACTCTCTATTGGCAGGGCCTGAAAATCCTTGGTTGGTACAAGCATATGTCTTTGCAGCCAAGCATCCCTTTGCCTCTGTGGTGGCACAGGAAGTGTTTCAGAGTGGAATTATCCCTGCAGATACAGACTTCCGTATCTACAGGGACTTCGGGAATATTCCAGGTATGTTATCAGAAAACCTGTCAATGGGGGGCATTATTTAACCCTTATCTAGATTTATAACAAGGGGACAATCCTGTAAATGCTCACTCATGTAACGGTTTTAGGGTTTGGGCTCTAGGCCATGAGCTCCAAACTGAAACTTGACTTGGTATCTGCTTAAGTTTAGGAGGAACATATTGTGTTTCTCCCCTAGGAAAATAACCCTCATGGTTTTTGGTGTCCCACACAGACTAGGTGCATACACTCAGGGTCCTGAGTGTTCTCTGTTTCAGTGTGTCTTCATTCTCTGTCAGCCCCTTGACTTCTAGCACACTATGCTAAATGCCATGGCACACTGAAAATTCTCTGACTTTTAAATTGTGGATTAATATAGCGAACTACAGTTGATCTTAATTAAACCGAAAAGGGACCACATTGTCAAAGTACAGCAGGTTTGAAAGTATAAAATGCTTTCCTCTGACAGCATTGACCACAGTATCACATTATAGCTGAGGTTAATATCACCTCACATGTATAGGTTATGGAAAGCTGCTACCCTTGTCACCTTGCAATCCAGGTATATGGGCTACAGAAACTTGCTCATTTCTGGCATATGAGTTGGCAATGGCAGTTTTTGCAACCAGTGTTAATAAAACCAATGGGTCCCCCAGGGAGAAAGAGAGCCTATTACAGGGGGCAACCACATGGGGAAAATTACTTACTTAAAAATCAGGAAAATCTCTTGGAAATCAAATATATATTATAGCATAGTTACATTTAAAGCATTTAAATTCAAAGTGGGGGAAAAAACCCCACTTGGAACCAAGAATTAAAAGAAAAATTATGTATGTAAGGAATAGACAGGGGAAAAAAGAAGCATCACTTTTAGATTTGTAACTGTTATGGCTGCAATCTTACTACTTTCATTGCAGTAGTCATGCTCCAGATGGTCAGGAATGGGGACTTTTGACTCCTTAGTTTACAATTCACACTAATCCCTTTTTCCTAACAACTTAAATAATGGGTGGTTTAATTGGAGAAGACAGCACAAAATGACATCTCATTTGGCACAAATGCTAAAGGAAAATAGATTTCTATAGGAGGAGGAGGATTTAAGGTATTTTAATATGTCTAGCTTTGAATGAACACTGAGGTATCTTGTTCTCTAGAAAAGTGGTCTGCACAGAGTGACGCGTAAGGACATGGCTAAAACAAAGTATTGTACTGCGTGCTCTGAACTGTTCTAAAGCACACTTCTAATCTCAAAATGGATTGTGTAAGCATAGTACCGTCTGATGTAGCTAATCTGGGTCCATCTGTGTTTGGAAACGTATCTGCTCTTATTAGGTGGCAAATGAGTTTTTATTGCCTTTCTTCTGATAGCCATGCAGAGCGAAAACAGCTGTGTTTGAGAAATGGATTCTATTCATTCTTGTGCACCAACAGAATGATTTGTTTTGATCAGCTACATCGATACAAAATCAGTGACAGCACTAAGTATGCAGGTGTACTACTGTGAGCGTACACACTATGAATTGCACAGGGGTACACTGAAGGCATCATTTGGCTTGCAGAACCTCTGCTAGTGGTGATTCATGGGAAGGAAAGCTTGATTCTTGGATCCCAGGTAGACTTTGCAGGACTGGCAATTACAAAAAAATCTCTTTTTACCTGTAAGGTGACCACACAGAATTGTTAAGCGGTGGTAGTCATGCAATCTCAGGATTACATTTTCTAGTTGCTTTTCTGTGTATAACCACACTGAATTTTTAGCGATGATGTTGGGAAAGCACAAAATTTGGAATTTGGCCGTTGGCTGGTAAGAGTGATATTCCACTGCTTCAGGCAGACAACCAGTCACCAAATAAACTATGGAAGGTGATAGGGGGCTTATGCTGTCCTTGGAGGCTAGAGGCTAGCCTCATTAGAGAATCAGGTGATCAGGAATATTGGTATAGGCATGACTTTCTACAGTAGAGGGAAGTTGTGTGTATAAAGAGCAGGCATGGCAGTAAAATACAGAAGGACCAAATATTTTCATATACCTTTAATTAAATATGTCCATGTTCTGTTACAAAATTGGTTCTTAAGCAGTCTTATTACATGTGGTAAACTGTTCAAGTCATAGTAGTCAAAAGTGGGTTACATTGGTAGAACAAAACTATTTTTTATTTTGTAAAATGTTCTGAAAGCTTTCAAGTGTTTGATTAGGTTTAGGTAACTTTAATCATAGTCCTTTTCTATCTTCATAGGAATAGACTTGGCTTTTATTGAAAATGGCTACATTTACCATACAAAATATGACACACCAGACAGAATTCTAACGGATTCAATTCAGAGAGCAGGTTGGTATTCAGACTTCCATCAAAAATTTGATAAAGAATGTGGCTAAATGGAAATTGCTTCCTTTTCCTACTAATCCTTATCATAGCCCCTATAAGTTGGAAATTTCTTAACGATTAGTGATGCATAATCTAAACATTGGTAAACCTCAAAAGAAATAAAACTTCTCAGAATTCAGTGGCTCGTGATTTGTAACAATCCCTGGAGCCTCTTTCAGATTGAAATCTGGCCAGGCCAGTGGTGACCAAATTCATCGCCCTCTGAGGACTGTTCAAAGATCTACCTCTGGCCATTTTCCTATGGGCAAATATCCACAATACTTTGCAACCTTGTTTAATATTCTCCACAAGGAGACTGAGGGTTAAATGGGTGGCATGGAGACTGAATCGCCTCTAGAATTGGTCCTTCCCAAACCAGGGCAGAACCAAAATGGCAGGACAGCCTGTGCAAGCTTCTGCTGCTGCCACAGCCCATATTTTATTATTTCCATGGATAAAGAGGAGAATTCACTTCCCAGATCGGTCAATATTTCACCTTTTTATAAGCACTAAATTTACTCTTAAGTAGAGAATCTGTAAAAGTAATTATTAATAGATTTTTTTGAAAAACCACAACAGCCAAAAGTGTGTGCTAGCCACCACCAGAAATATTAACAAAATTAGTGTCTTCTTTCTTTGACTGACAGAATTAAATCAGGTTTACTCTTTCCAGGCTTGTTTCTCAATCTTTTTATAGGCACTCAAGCAACAGTTGTCCTCTTGTAGTCATGACCAAATTATATAGCTAATATTTATTCAGTTTTAGTTGAAGGAATTGGGTCAGCAGCAGAGTTCTGTGAATAACTTTCATGGAGATCAAACAGTTTTAATTTTTTTTTTTAAGTAATACAGTTGCAAGATGCCCTAGTGTACTTCTGTTTTGTCCCCTATCCCTGTTGTAAAGCTGATGCTCCTCATTTTGATAATTTGTTACAGCAAAAGCAGTTCACTGCTTAAAGCTTGGTTCCCAAGGATTTTTATATCAAGGGTCACTATGTAGGTTTAGAACAGTGGTTCTCAAACTGTGGGTCAGGACCCCAAAGTGGGTTGTAACCCAATTTTAATGGGATCGCCAGAGTTGGTTTAGACTTGCTGGGGCTCAGGGCTGAAGCCCAAACTCCACTGCCTGGGGCCGAAGCCGAAGCATTCAGCCCTGGGCGACAGGGCTCAGGTTACAGGCCCCCTGACTGGAGCTGAAGCCCTTGGGCTTTGGCTTTGACCCCTACCCTGCCCAGGGCAGTGAGGCTTTGGCGCCCCACCTGGGGCAATGGGAGTCAGGCGGACTTAAGCTTCGGTCCCCCCTCCTGGGGTTGAGTAGTAATTTTTGTTGTCAGAAGAGGGTCACGGTGAAGTTTGAGAAGTCCTGGTTTAGAAGAATATTTTGCATTGTGTGTAATCAAATATGAAATGATAGCTAAAAGATTAATTAAACACATTTCTAATGTGATGTAGAAGTATAATTTTAGGATGTAATATTTTTCTTTTTTTATAACATCTATATATAGAACTATGCACTTGTCTTTCCTATTTTCATATTGTCTTTTTTCCCCCTTAAACAGGTGACAATATTTTAGGAATGCTAAAATACTTAGCAACATCAGATAAATTGGCCAAATCTTTTGACTATCGGCATGGAAATGTGGTCTTCTTTGATGTGTTTGGTCTGTTTGTCCTGGCCTACCCTGCTCGTGTTGGCACCATCATGAACTATATAATAACTGCAGTCACTGTCCTTTATCTAGGAAAAAAAATATTACAGCCCAGAAACAGGGGTAAGTCCAGCTAAGAACAATGTGATTTTTCTGAAGAGGAGGAACTTGGTAAGTTTTTAAATAAACAGGAGCTAATATGATAGGAAATTATCAGCAGATTATGCAATTACTTGCATAGATGAACTTTGAAATGGATATTGTGTACTCAGTGGCTTGTGTCAGTTGCTTTGGAGCTCATTGTATTAAGTCACTCGAGCATGAAATGACTACAGTGATAAAGGGATATCCTCATAGGCCCAAAATCAAGAATGTGTTGTAGCTCAGCTTTTCATGACATGTTTAAAAGTTAAAAACAGCCACCTGAAATTATTTCAAAATTACTCAGGGTCCAGTTTGTTAGTTTTAGTAACAGGCAGGGCTTTTTCCTTTTCCTTCTTTTTTATTTTTATTTTTTTAAGAAAAGGGGTATCTTTTTACATACAAATTTGTTAATATACAGCAGCAAATAATAAAACAGTCTTTAAAAGGAAAAAGGGTACTGAAAGTTATTGAAAGGACCTTGTCCATGTAGGCTAAATAGACTCATAGACTTTAAGGTCAGAAGGGACCATCGTGATTATCTAGTCTGACCTCCTGCACATTGCAGGCCACAGAATCTCACCCACTCCTGAAATAGACCCCTAAACCCTGGCTGAGTTACTGAAGTCCTCAAATCATGGTTTAAAGACTTCAAGTTACAGAGAATCCACCATTTACACTAGTTTAAACCTGCAAGTGACCCATGGCACATGCTGCAGAGGAAGGTGGAACCCCCCCCCTCCCCCCCACCAGGGTCTCAGCCAATCTGACCTGGGGGAAAATTTCTTCCTATCCCAAATGCCCTGCAATTAAGCCTCCTTTAATTATTGGGAGGGGAGAACAAGCACAGAACTAATAATTATATAATAATATAACTTAATAAAGCAATACTTTTATCAAAACTTTATAAACAAAACCAAACCCACGGAAACTACCTTCTTTCTCTGGGAAAACATAAACTGGAATCCTTAAAAAACAAAATCTTTCCTGAAGTTTCCTAGGCTGTGGGATAATCTCTCAAGGGAAATGCCCTGAACAAATCACTAGTTCAGTAAGAAAGGATCTTGTAGTGATAAGGGCATGGGGTGGATAGCTTAGGCCCTGATGCTGCGAAGGAATCTTCAGCTGCAGACCCCTAAACCTACATTGCATCTTATTTAATTGCTTTAATGACCAAGGTGATCATTGTTGTAATTTTAGTCCCAGTATAGCACCCTAACTGCAAAATGTAGCTAATAAAATGGCCCATTGCATTCAAGTTTACTATTTTTTCTCTCTTCCTTAGCTATTAACTACATGAAGGAGCTCTCCATTGCATTTGGCTTCACACTGTTAAGTTGGTTCTCCACATTAGTGACTGTCCTTATTGTGGCAGTGTTCATCTCTCTCATCGGACGGTCTCTTTCTTGGTATAACCACTTCTATGTCTCCATCTTCTTGTATGGAACTGTAGCTGCGGCTAAACTAATCCTCGTGCACACGTTAGCCAAAAAGTTCTATTATAAGGTAAGTGCTGATTCTTTGTAGTTTACTACTTGGTGACATGGAGTAGAAAAATTAGATCATTACTGATGAACAGGGATTTAATAATCTGAACTGTGATAAGTGTTGACTTCTTGAAAGCCCATCAGTTCAGTTGGCTCATAAACTTCATGAAGATTTGTATCTCTGTCAAACATATATTTAAAAGACATCTCTTAGGGGTGTTAAGTTTAATATTTTTAAACATATTATCAAACTGGATCAGTCCCTAGACCCATCTAGCCCAGAATATTGTGTCTGACAGTGACCAATACCAGAAGAAGAAAGGGGAAGAACCGCATGGTAGGATAATTTAAGATAATTCCTCCACATTAGGTCTCATCCTGGTCTCTAGTAGTTAAATTGGTTTAACCCTGAAGCATGAGGTTTCAACATTCTTGTTATCACTAATTATGATGACTCTGCATATTCTTTATCTATGTAGTTATTCAGTCATTCTTTGAAGCTTGTTAAGTTTTTTGGCTTCAGATAACTGCCTGTGGCAATTAGTTCCTCAAATTAATCAGAGACTGTGTGGAAAAGTGGTCCCTTTTATTTGTTTTGAATTTTCCACCTTTTAAATTTTATTAAGTGCCCCCTTAGTCTTGTGTTATAAGGCAGAGAGAACAGACGTTCCCAGTCTGCCTTCTGTATACTATTCATTAATTTATATACTTTTATCATGTTCCCTCTTATTTGTCTCCTTTCTAAGATAACAATCCCAGTCTTTTCAATCTCGTCATATGAGTTTTTCCCTGGCTTTGATCATTCTCTTGTTGCTCTTCTGTGAATTTCTAATTCTGCACTTTCCATTTTGAGTACTGCATACAGTATTCTAGGTGAGGCCATACCATTGATTTATATAATGGCATTATAATTTCCATGTTATTCATCCCATTCCTTATACATCCTAATTTCTTGTTTGTTTTTTTGACCACAGCTGCACATTGAGTAGAGGTCTTCACTGAGCTATCTACAGTGACATCCAGGCCTCTTTCTTGAGTTAATATAGTTAATTTAGAACCCTGTAAGATGTATCGGTAGTTTACATTTTCACCTCCTGTGAGCATTACTTTGCATTATTGACATTGAATTTCATTTGCCATCATGTTGCTATGATGTTCCGGGGTGCAATCCAGACATTGAAGGGCTGTGTCGCCTTTGTCCTGCAACCTGGGGTGCCTCGCAGTGCTTTGCTGCCGTAACTTGCAACTTTGGCCCCTCAATAAACAACAAAACAGCATACAGGTCACACCCTGAGCGTCTGCTGGCAGGCTGCAGCTATACATGCTTCAGTCACACTCTGGTTTCCACCAGCCTTGGTTACCACTTGCATGGTGACCTCAACGCACTCCCAATCCCAAATTTCCCCTCAAAATGTATGTTCTGCACTGTCCAACCCCCTCCTGGAGAGCTCAGATATTTTAGGTCTGTTGCCCCTCTAAGGGGATCAATATCCAACAGTCCTGCTAGTTTAAATGGAGTTATCTCACAGTCCAGTTTAACTACAACACTGGATTAGTTTTGATTAAAGACTAAAACAAGTTTATTTAAATACAAGAAGATAGGTTTTAAGTGAGTACAAGTATAAGATATTAAAATCAGAAATGGTTACAAGAGAAATAAAGATGAAATGGTTTCTAGTACTAAAACTTAACAAACTTGACTTGGTGAAGGTGAAATCCCTTACCACATGTTTTCAGTAACATTGCTAACCAGTGTTAAAAATGTGCCTAATCTTGCCTGTGGACCCTGGTGCTTCCTTTGGGGAAAAAAAAAATAACCCCCACATTTGGACAATATAGAATACTATATTAAAAAAAAAAGGCTTTAATGTAATTGTATATGCAGTAATAACACTGAGTATATAGGAAGAGGCATAGTTACAGCTGCTGATAAAACTGTAACTCAGAATCTTCTTAAGTGTTTGTGAAATGTGTTTTCATGTGGTTACAGACAAACCATTTGCTACATATGAAAGTAACAAGCCATGTGCATAAAACATACATCTAGAAAATGTTGCCTGCCTTTTCCTTTAATTCTCTCTTCCTTCCCTCCAACGTCCAAACTAATCTGTTAAACTACTTTTTTTGAATCCGCTCTGATATAGCATCTAATTGTATAGCTCCATAAAGGGAAAGAAATTGGTGTGGCAGTGTTTATAAAAGGATAGATGGTGACCAAACAAAACTTTAGCTGTGTATAAGCAACAGAAATTTGCAATAGTGGCCTTAAGAGATCTGATATATACTGATCACTGAGCAGGCTAATTCTGTATTTTTTCTTTTTTTTTTCTTTACAGAATAGAAATGAGCAGTACCTGGGGGAGATGTTCTTTGATGTCTCACTTCTTGTTTGGTCTATTGCATTGGTTCTAATCACTCAACTAGGCCTTTGCTCAGCATTCATCTGTGCAATGTGGGTAGCGTTTCCTTTACTCACAAAGCTATTGACCTATAGAGAATTCAAACAAAAAGGTAAAAATGTATTTTTTTTTATTTGACAACCTGGGAGCTTTAAACAAAAATAACTTCTCTGAACTCTGAATTATTCTGACTTAAGAAAGCCAGTAGCATTTTTGTTAGGAATAACTATAACCTTGATAGAAAGGCAGCTTTTAAGAATAGAGCAGATATGTAGGAGTGGCTTGAGTCATCTATATAATTAGAGCCCTGTGTGGATACAAAATTTGTGTCTGCATCCAATCCGCGATCCACAAAAATGGTCCATGGATATCTGCCTCCGCAGACGCAGATATCCACAGATACAAAGCGGATATCCACGGATTTGCAGGGCTCTATATATAATATTCCAGTATTGTCACCCTGAAGCCTAGAATGTCTGAGTCAGTGTGAAGCTATGGAAACAGCAACAAGCATGTCTCTTTGTTCAGAATATCACCAGGTTCAATCATCACTAGGTTTTGCATCCACTTTCTAAGTTCTCAGCTATTTTGACTTTACGAATTACACCTGTTTGGTGTACGGCTACACGTCTATGCCAAGCCAAGAGTCATAGACCATTGTAATATAAGAGGTAACTCAACCTGTCACCACCCTTACTTTACAACTAATTTGCATGCAACAATTTCTTTGGCCATTTGAGGGAGGAGATGTGGCTTATTTGGCCCAAATGCTACACCCATGTGAGAGAGCCTCGGCTTTTGGCGACTAGTATAATATATATCAGTATAGACTCAGAGGGGCAAATTATCAGTGTATTCAGTTATGATCATTGTTCAAATACACCTCTACCCCGATATAACGCTGTCCTCTGGAGCCAAAAAATCTTACTGCGTTATAGGTGAAACCGCGTTATATCGAACTTGCTTTGATCTGCCGGAGTGCGCAGCTCCGCCCCCCGGAGCGCTGCTTTACTGCGTTATATCCGAATTCATGTTATATCGGGCCACGTTATATTGGGGTAGAGGTGTATTTAGATGAAAGATGGGACCTAAACCAGTGTCATAGTTAGACACAGATATTGAGACAAAAGTCTGTTTAGCTTTTTTCACAATACAAGTATAGTATTATGTGGCTTTAAAAATGTCTTGCATTGGCATGGTCTGTACCAGATGGAGCCTTCTGTCCATGTAGATGGACCTCGCCCTTGGAAATAGCTTGTATTTGTCCCTTGATATTGTATACAGTAACTAATTAAAACTGTAAATTCTGTATCTTACAGGCTACAGAATATCATGCTTGCTTGTTTTTTTCCTCTCTCCTGTAGGTGCCACAATAAGATTTGTCATAATTTACATGCTGGGAATGTTTATTCCATACCTCTATATAATGTACCTCACCTGGACGATATTTGAAATGTTCATTCCCATCATGGGTCGAAGTGGTACAGAAATTCCACCTGATGTAGTGCTGGCAGCCTTTATCCTTAGCAGCACTGTAATTCTATCTTCCTATTTTGTAAGGAGTTTTTTTTTTTTTTAAACCTTGTAATCCATATACTGAGCTACTTTTTTAAAAGAATATTTGAAATTAATGGTGGTTTAATTGTAGGCTAAAAAGCTAGCTTATCACAAGGAACTCCCATAAAAGTAGCTAAATCAATACATTAAAATTAAACTAGACTCTTTAGAGATGCTGTTTGTGGATACTTGAAAGCCAAATTCTATCTTCATATAGTGGTGTGCTCCTCTCAGTGAAGTTGGTTGGAGTTGTGCATGATACAGGGTTGAATTTTGCCCAGTATCTGACTAGAGAGTTGGATTTATACACGATATGAAAATGAGATGCTGATGGGGAAGTTCAGTGGCTTTCCCCTATTGGTGAAGGAGTCCCTGAGAGGACCAGGAGAATATAGATCCAAAAAATGTACTGAAGTAACCTGCTGTCTATGAAAATGGGGGTTCATCCCATTGTAAACTTCCCTTCCTGTATTCAGGATGATTGTTTCGCATTCATGATGAGATTAAACTGAGCCATTGTATAGGAGAGAGTTTAAATGCAGTAAACAATACATTGTTAGTTGAAGAAAACCCATTTGGACAGAACACAAGAATATATCTGCTGTAGGATGGAGGTACAGAGATCAGTGCAAGGGAAGACTATCCTCAATTGAAAAACATAATTTAACTTCCTTGAGATATTTTAATTCTGGAGGGTAATTAGGACTTTAGTGTAATTTAGGAAGAATGTGGCATTGAGTATAAATTGATCTGAACAATATATAAATAACGTCATGTTTCAGCACTGTTTTTAACAATGTGCCCTCACACAGGCTTCCAATTAAAAATAATCAGGTACCATTTGCTAATGAACATTTTAAAAAACAATGTGTGCTTTCTTAAAACTCTAGGAAGTCTGCACATAGATCTAGCATATTGGTTATTAAGATTGCATGACTTAATGTCTCTTGCATCAAATTAAATAACATTTGTGAAGATAATCACATTTTAAAATGTCCTCTGAATTCCATAAATTAGGTCTTTAGAAATACACTAACACTATCTTTTGCTACTCAGTGCAGTAATTTCATAACTAGTGCCTGATATTTTTATTCTCTAGCTTAACTTCATCTATCTTGCCAAAAGTACAAAGAAGACACTGATAACTTTAACTACAGTGTTTGGAGTTACACTAATTCTTGTTTGCAGTGGAGTATTCTTCCCATACAGTTCTGATTCTGCCAATCCAAAGCCTAAGCGAGTCTTTCTCCAGGTAAGAAAAACCTTACATAATATATAGCCTACATCTTCTTTTTTTTTAACTGATGTTTCTCTCTTCAACCTTCCTTTTCCCCCTTCATAGAAGGGCATTTTATCCTTGGATACAGGACAATTCATAAGAGGATTGTTCATTCCCAGGCAGTTAAAAAAATGTAGCTGCTTGAGATTATTGTAACTTTTTTTTGTTTTCATTGCTCACGATGGGCCACACTCTTCCCTGACTTCTGTTTGGTTACACCAGGAATCAATTTGGCTCAATAAACATGTTTAAATACTTACACATATTTGTTCTAACAAACATTATTCTTAGAAGTAGCATGCAGGGAGCTAGGCAGACTCTCTCTTTTGATCCTTGTGGAACGGTCCATCTACTTTGTGTGGAGGCTCACTCAGCTGCACTCTGTACATACTGATTTTGCTGGAGTGCTATGGTCAACTTGAAAGGATAGTGGGTGAATCTCTTTTTAGCAGTGGAATGATTTGCCTTCCCCAGTTACTTTTAGATGCATACCTATTTTTAGAATGCATATGTATGTGCGAAGAGTGGGTGGAGTGACAAGTGTAGCTTTGCAATAGCTAAAAGTCTTACGAGACTTTGGAACAACACAAAGTGTAAAAACAAGAAGTGTATAAAATAAAGGCAAATTATCTTGTTGCAGTTGGCTTGGAGCCTCTTTCTCTGCTCATCTCCAGTTGAGAGATCTTACTTGAAGAAAACTTATTAATAACTTAAAAGACAACCAGTCCTGTTTATCAATGATATCCGGGTATTATGTACTGGAATTACCTTCTTAGTAGATTGGTCAGTAGTGGCAGTAATTTGGAAACTGGGATAATTGATTTTGCTCCTGACAACTTGTTCTTCTTTGAGCGATGGTGCCTATGTGTATCCCACATGTTGGACACCCATGTGTCTGAGTCCGGAATTTCTTGCAAGCAGTTTCCATTAGCCCACACGTGCCATAGTTCACGTGCTCCCCACCAACGGCGTAAAGGGAGATGTGGGCTGACACCTCTCCAGCTCCTTCTGACCACCGCATGGTCTGAGTCAGAATCTTCAGTGTCCTCAGCAGTCTTTTTTTACTGCACCATTCCTGTCAGAATTGTATACAACTAGTTTCTTTAGTAGTTTTTATAGTATAGTATAGCATAATTGGGGGTAGTCAATTATTTTTTGTCAAGGTCCAAATTTCTTGGGCAAGGTATAGTCAAGGTCCAGACTCCAGAGAAAATAACAATCAAAAACAACAATAATGATAAGTAAATAAAAAGATTTTTGGGGTCTGTTCAAAAGCATGTTGCAAGATCTTCTAACATGACACAGGGGCAAGATCTCACATCCCAGTCCAGGGCTGGTGCAACTCAAAGACTGGTATTGGGCTGGGCATCAAAGATAGAATGCTCACGTTTCAAGAGGGTGCAATCTATCTTTAGCCAAAGGAGACGAGATTCTGCAATAAGCTGTTACTCACCTAACTGCAAGCATTTCTCCGCTTGGGCTCACCAACGCAATTTGCTTTCAGATTCTGCAGGAATCCCTGCTATCTTAGAGTGTACACTTACCCCAAGTCTTCAGGTCTTGTGTTCGGTTCCCTGTGGGTGCATTTAGCCACAATCTGCACTTTCCATTCTCCACTAAATAATCGTCTGATCTTCATGCACCCTCTCTCAGCTAGATTTTTGAATGAGATTCTCAGATCCTTTCCCCCGTGGTGAAGATCAAACCTCAATGTGACCTCAGTTGTGTTCTATCATCACTCAGTAAGACTCCCTTTGAACTGCTGGCCACATGCATCTATCCATGAAGGTGGTCTTTCTGATAGCTAAAACGTCGGCCAGAAGAGTCAATGAACTGGGAGCGCTTATGGCAGGCCCCCCATATACTGCTTTCTATAAAGAAAAGATCTTGTTATGCCCCCAATTTGGCTTGTTTGAGTTTCATAGGTCATCCATTTACCTGTATTTTTTCCTAAACCACATGTCTCAGAAGAGAAGAGAAGACTGTATTCTCTGGACGTCTGGAGGGCTTTGGTCTTTTATCTGAAAAGAACAAAGGACATTAAAAAGACATCTAAACTGTTTCCATAGCAGAGCAATCAAGAAGTCAATCTATATTGGTGCAGAGACTTTCAAAATGGATCTCAGGTTATATTACCCTTTGTTACCATGTAGCCATTATGGGTAGGGGCACAAGGGGGCAAGTTACTTCAGCTGCATCTCTGAGAGACATACCCATTCTAGAGATATGTAGGGCAGCTACTTGGAGCTCTTTGTATACCTTCACGAGACATTACGCACTGATACATTCATCAGCTGTGTATATGGCTGGGGGGACAGCAGTACTTCAGTTAGCTGTCACTTCTGCATCCTCTCCACCCGCCACCAGTTTGACTACTGCTTGTTAATCTCCTATGTGTGGAATGCATAGGGACCTCACTCAAAGAAGAAATGCAGGTTATTCACGTGCATGGTGTGCATGCATATCCCATGTGTGGAATACGGATAGGGACCACACATCTCAAAGAACTCCAGTTACAGGTAGGTAACCTCCATTTACAGTCACCCAGGAAAGACGTATGAAAAATGTATAAGTACTGGGTTTGGAATTCCTAGATTTTTGGGATATGTGATTCACACTTAGACCTTGTCTATATTGGAAAGTCTTTTTGGTATAATCTAAGGTGTGAATTATTAAACTGGTATAATGCTCCATTTGGACACTCTTGTCCACTACTTTTGTGTTTTTCAGTTTAGTTTATGTAGATTAATAAATTCCAAGGCCAGAAGGAAATATTGTGACCATCTAGTCTGATCGCCTGTATGACACAGGCCATAGAACTCCCCCTCCCCCCCCCCCCAAATTCCTACAGCAGATCCTTTAGAAAAACCTCTAATCTTGATTTAAAAATTGACAGTGATGGAGAATCCACCATGACCCTTGGTAAATTGTTCCAATGGCTCATTATCCTCACTTAAAAATGTATGCCTTATTTCTTGTCTGAATTTGTCCAGCTTCAACTTTCAGACATTGGATCGTCTTATATCTTTCTCTGCTAGATTAAAGAGCCCTTATCAAATATTAGTTTCTCATGTAGATACTTATAGACTATAATCAAGTCACCTCATAACCTTCTCTTTGTTAAGCTGAGTAGAGGTAGTTTGTTTGGTAAGGGGTTTAACCTAAACCAAAAAAGGCACTTTTAAAAATACTAGAATAAGAATGCCCATAGGGGTGGGGGGAAAAGGTGTTCAGTACAGGTCTAACGAAACCAGTGTAAGGTAGTACCGGGTGCCTGTGTAAAGAAGGCCTAAAGCAGGGTTGACTCGATACTTTAGAGGGAGATTAATTGAGTGTTAATTTTCTGTAAACTCCTCCTAAATTCCTGCTCTCCAAAGTCTGTTGCTGCCTTTTCCCTTCCCAAGCTGGAGGTATCTGTTTATTGTCACTAGAGCTAAAAACTGCTTAGACGTCCATAACAGCCAATTCAGTAGTCCTCTACATTCTGCCATGCTTGAGCTGTTCTTAGAAACTTAGGCTCAATTTAAAAGTCTCAGTACAGTCTCTCTGGTCATTCTGGACAAGTTCAAAGTATCTCCCCTCTAAGGTTATGTCTACACAGCAACTAGTCACCTGCGACTGGCCCGTGCTAGCTTACTAAAGCTCACGGGGCTCTGCCTGCAGAGCTGTTTATTGCTGTTTAGACTTGTGGGCTTGGGTTGGAGCACTGGCTTTGGGACTTTCCCACCCTGTAATGTCCTAGAGCACACGCTCCAACCTGAGCCCGGAAATCTTCACAGCAATGAAACAGCCCGTTAGCCTGAGCCTCACGAGTCCAAGTCGCCTGGTGTGGGCCAGCCTCAGGTTTTTATTTACCCTAAGTGCTTCAGTCAGGCAAACTATACATTACATCTCTGGGACTATTGCCAGTGTCACTGGGCTACACTGACCTTATTCACAGGATGCAGCGAGTGTCTCTTGTAAAACATTTGGAAAGTGCAACCTGGGGGCAGTCTTTCTTCCCTGAGTGCGTGGGGCTTAGTTTCTTTGCCTTGTAAAATTGTTTTTTCAACCTCTGTACTAGGTCCAATAAGCATTGATGTTTAAGAATGGCCTATTTGTGTCCTTCAAGAAATATCTAGTGGCCAAATCTGTGCAGGGGCTCAGGTAACACCATGCTGGGGACCATAGAAGTACCTTGATAGAAACACATTTTCTAACATATCATGGAACAGGGGTTCTCAAACTTTTTCTTCCTGAGGGCCCTCCCAACATGCTATAAAGACTCCACGGCCCACCTCCCTGTGCCACAATAACTGTTTCTCTGCATATAAAAGCCAGGGCCAGTGTTAAAGGATAGCAAGCAGGGCAATTGCCCAGCGCCCCACACCACAGGGGCCATTGTGAAGCTAAGTTGCTCAGGCCTCGGCTTCAGCCCCTGGTGGCAGGATTTGGAGCCTCGGAGTTCAGGCCCAGATGGTGGGGCTTTGGCTTTCTGCCCTGGGCCCCAGCAGGTCTAATGCCAGCCCTGCTTGGCGGACCCTCTGAAACCTGCTCACGGACCCCCAGTGGGCCCCAGACCCCTGGTTGAGAACCACTGCCATAGAACAGTGGTTTTCAAACTTTTTTTCTGGGGACCGAGTTGAAGAAAATTGTTGATGCCCACCACCCAACGGAGCTGAGGATGAGAGGTTTGGGGTGTGGGAGGGGCTCAGGGCTGGGGAAGAGGGTTGGGGTGAGGACTGCGGGGTGGGGCCAGGAAAGAGGGGTTGGGGGGGCTCAGGGCTGGGGCAGGGGGTTGGGGGTCAGGTTCTGGGCTGGGGATGAGGCGGTTGGGGTGCAGGAGGGGCTCTGGGTTTGGGGTTGTTCAGGGCTGGGTTGGGGTTGCAGTGCGGGAGGGAGTCAGGGCTCTGGGCTGAGGGGTTTGGGGTGCAGGAGGGGTTCCAGGTTTGCGGGGGCTCAGGGCTGGGCCAGAGGGTTGGGGTGTGAGAGGGGGTCAGGGCTCTGGGCTGGGGGTGCAGGCTCTGGCCTAGGGATGAGGGATTTGGGGTGCAGGAAGGGGTTCCAGGTTTGGGGGGGCTCAGGGCTGGGGCAGGGGATTGGGGTGCGGGCGTGGACCGCTGTCTGCCCCGTAAGCGGCCAGCAGCAGGTTTGGCTCATAGGCGGAGGCTCACAAGCGGCTCCGCCTTCCTCTCCCCTCCCTCCCAGTTCCCATTGGCTGGTTGCTGGCCAATGGGAGTGCAGAGCCGGGGCTCAGGGCAGGGGCAGTATGCGGAGGCCCGTGGCCCTCCTGCCTAGAAGCTGGATCCGCTGCTGGCTGCTTCTGGGGCACAGCGTCGTGTTGGAAAAGGTAGGCACTAGCCTGCCTTAGCTGGACAGCACTGCCGACAGGCCTTTTAATGTCCCAGTCGGTGGTGCTGACCAAGGCGACCCAGCGCCATACATGCCGTGACCCACGGTTTGAAAAATACTGCCCTAGAAGACCTTATGCTGTGCCAAAAATGTGTGGGCGGTAGTGGTGGGCATTTCAGAATCAGTTCTGACTTTATCAGGTTGCACAAAATATTCCAAATGCCGGATGGTTTTTCTGTTTGTTCCTCACTCTTCCAGCATGTGAGCAGAAGATTTTATGGCCTACATGGAAACTTGGTAAAAAGCGACTCTGGAATATGGATTAATGGGTTGGACTATGCTGGAATATCTCACATCACTCCTCATATACCTGAACTCAATGACACTATCAGAACTAATTGTGAGGACAAGGCCCCTCTCTGTGGCTTTCCTTGGATTCTTCCTGTGCACTTTCTTCTCAGGTAACTTTCTTCTGAGTAATGCCTGTTAGGACCACATGGAACTTAATTTCCAAGACGCATCAGACACTTTTGCACAAGTTCCATAGAAGGATGAAGAATAAAACTCATTTTGTAATGTTTTTGTCACTGCGAAAGACTTTCTTTTTCATCATATTATAATGTCCCTGGCTGCACGTGTTTTGTCACAGAAACTTTAGGAGAAAACATTTGATAACTGATGTCATGGTCTCGTGTCCGCCCAAAAGCTAGCAATTTGGAAATCTAAAAATTCCTTACTTTGGTTATTGTTTTAGCTTGTTTTACCTTAAGTTAACAGGTGGCTTGGTCAAAGAGAATGAGGTGAGGAATAAAGGCATGGTGGAGGCAATCCTGCTGATCACAGAGGGTCCCTTTTAAATGTTTTGATTGTGGCCACAGACTATGAAAGCATTAATCTTTACCTCTAGGGTGAATGGCACTTGAATATTTCATTTTGTAATAGCAAGGCCGCCCAGCCTTGTTCTACAAAGACTTGTATTTTGCCCAGAGTCTATAATCTTTTAGCACTATACGGCACTTCTGAGTGTTGCGTTGGGCTTAAAAAATGCTTTTTATTGTAGAAAGAACTGGTATCTTCCTGCTGCAGAAATTTCTCCCACAAACCCTGTTCACTTTAAACTTCTGGCCAAAGAGCAAATGCCCTGGGATTCTACAAAGTTAACCTTTGAAGTATCAGGTGAGTGGCTATATGTCTATCAGCCTCTGATTTGTGATTTTTTTATGCTCATTATAAGCTTAAATTCTGGTATTGAAAGTGGCTATGCTATCCCTGGGATAGCGGAGTGATTGGCACTAATGCATAATTGGGAACCTGGCATCAACTAATTCAACTTCCCAGGCACTCGAAAAATTGTGGCCAGATTGCAATTGTAAACTTAACGGCTCATTTGAATTAACAATTGACTTTTGTTAGCTAGAAACTTTTAAAGCCCATTTTATAACTCTGTCCCTCTCTGCACAGGATCCACTATGGCTTCTGCTATGGACAGGGGAGCTGCTTAGTTCTGTATCTCATATTGAGAGAGACAACTGGCAGCATACAGGCTAAATCTCTCATACAAAATGAAATTAAACAGCTGATTGGGGCACAGAAGAACCCATAGTAGCTAGAATGCAGTAGAAATGTGTTTCTCTTCACCTCCTTCTGCTAATACATCCAAATACATTTGCCTGTCTGATGTTGTAGGTCCCAGTCACATGTCGCTGTACATTCGACCTCATGAAGGGTCAACACTGTCCAGCTGGTCTCTTGGAGATGGAACTCCTGTTGCTAATATAGGAGGGGATTATTTTGTGTTTTACGCTCATGGACTGCAGGCTGTGGCATGGCGCTTCTGGATCGAGTTGAAGGTGAGGGTGAAAAATGTTCAAGAAAACTTTAAAAATAAACCCAACTTGCTTTATTATATAGATTAATAGAAGCTAGAGGTGAGATTTAATTTGTCTTTTAGTCTGTCCTCTGTGGGCTGATACAAGGCTGTTCGTGTGTGTGTGTGTTCTCTTGTCAAATTTTAAATGACCCGAGGGATGGGGCTTCCATTATTTCCTCTGATAGACACTTTTACAGTCTTCTGTCTTGCCATTAGGATTTTTTTATATTTATCTCAATTTTACCTTTTCTTAATAGTATCTCACTGCTCCTAATTAGAGCTGTTTTGTTGTAGTCTAAATAATTCCTCCCCCTGTACTCTGTTTACTTGCTTTGGGAAACTAGGATTCTTAAGTGGCAAATCCATCCCCTTAGAAAGGGAAGGAGTTACAGACTTTGTTTAGTAAACGTCCTGTGGATGCTTTTACCCTTTTAAGGTGCCCCTTTGAGCAATTCCCAGTTTCTTTTCCAAGGTGAATGTTGATGGGACCAGGGTAGTCACCTCTCATCATCTTACCTAAAGTTTCCCGGAAATAATTCACAGCATACCTGAAGCTTTTATTGCCATGGAATTTAAGATGTCTGATTCCCTTGGAAATTTTTATAGGGAAACATACAGGTTCAGCAAGGGTTCATTCCTGGATAAGGTGTTCTGATCACTTACCAAATTATCTTCCAAAGTGGAGTAAAGAGATACTTACCAGCAGCCCTGCATCCAGTTGTGCCAAACAGGAGTCTGTTTTGTACTAGAGCTCTGCCAGATGGACAAGGAAATTTCATTTAGTTGCTAGGAAAGGAACTCTGGTGTTGGTGATGAGTGAGCCTGCTGCACGGCCCATCAGAATCTTGACAAGTAGATTGATCCAACAGGTGAAGGATCAGCCCTATTCATCCCAGACTTTGGAAGCTTTTCACAGTAATTCTCTTCAGGCAGGAAGATTCACTTCCTTGTGTGTATTGGAGATTTGATCATACCGACCTCTTCAAGGATACATGGGCCAAGTTCTGAGCACAGTTGAATGTGTGCAGTCTTAAGTAAATGGCATTGTACATGTGCAACGGAATACAGATCAGCTGGGATATCGGGTCGATACCAATACTTCTATTGATTCTCTCTTCTATCAGGGATCTCCATTCTGCAAAGTCTCTTCTGCATGGTGGTAAATCCATTTTCTTTCACATTAGATAATACTGCTGGTATATTTTAACAGACATTAAGAAGGCTTTTAACTTTAAAAATAGTGAACCATGGGGCTGATGTAGTATATTGGACACTAGCTGGCTTGTAGGAAGACTCAGCAGGGGTATCTGGAATGAACAATATCTAGAACCTGTGAAGAGGCCAAGGGTGAAAATAATGCTTGGTAAATTTGGCATTGCCTTTTCTCACTTTCAGGCTGCAGAAAAGCACTCTGATGGAATGGTTTCCCTCGCCATAGCAGCACATTATTTCTTTGGGGAAGATCAAAAGTCACCTCAGCTGTATGCCTTAATGGAGAGATTTCCAAACTGGACATTTCCTTCTGGTTGGGTCTGCACCTATGACCTCTTTGTCTTTTAGTCTCACCGTGTCAGAAGATTCAACTCTCATTCATAATGAGTTCATTCTGGCAAGGTGCACAAGATGGTTTTTACAAATCCGTTTTGGGCACAAGATTGTTTCTGTGGTAGCTTGACTGCTTAAAGGATAAGCAGGGTTCCTGTCCTCTTTCTCTGGGAGTGGGTGGTCTTGCCTTGTTGGGCTGGGGGAGAAGTGCCTCCATATTTATGCAACTATAATTCAGCTGTTTCTCGCACTGACGTGGCAGTTTGACTAGTGTAGATCTAACATGAAGACTGCATTTGAGGAGGTAACTTTATAGAGTAGCCCTCTGTGCACTGTAAATGAGGGTCTTTGTGAAGGAATTGCCACAGTGTTGTAAAATACGCCCCAGGTTTTAAATACATGTGGATGCTATCACCTACAAACACTTAGTCCTATCTGTCCTATTAAAATAAAATAAGGTTTTGGCTAAAAGATTTTTGATTGTGTATGTGACGGAGCAGAAGCCTTTTTCTGAGTAAGTATTACTGTGACCTCTGGATGAAACCAGTTTTGTAGTAGTCACTTAGGCTATGCTGTGTCCTTGGAAAATTTCAAAGACTGGAAATTTCATGCATGGAACTTGATGATCAGTCTGTTACTTAGATCATTAACAACTTTTTTCCCCCTGTCCTCCACTGTTCTGTTTTAAAGATCTTTTTATTGGTCACTTCTTTTCTCTGTCCTTGTGCTAACTCTTTACCACAATGACTTTTGAGTGGGGGAGGTTTGACCAAATCATACAGTCTTCTACTTATTTCCCTGTTGGGATCTTGCAGCCTGTTTCAAGTATCAACATGAAGACTAGACTCGTGCATGAGATGCAAGCATGTGGCATTGTTGTGTACATCAGAGCACCGAGTCTCACACTCTGGCCTTTTTTTTTTTTTTTTTTTCCTTTTGAATGGACATCTTGTAACTGCTTGATTACTAGTTTCTAAATTGGTGTTGGTTATAAATGTCTATTTAGCATACTGGATTATTTCTTAGTTTAAGCGTAATTCATTTCACTTCATTTCATTAATACTTTGGTTCAGTGTTTAGTTTAGTTTTAAAAAAAAAAAGTGCTTTCCATAAGGATTTATGTAACTGTTGTGAAGAGACTTTTAAAGCACATGAAGCATCTGACATTTGTGGAGAACTGTTCTTAACTTAATCTTACAGTGTGGGATTTTCAAAAGCACATAAGTGATTTAGGAACACAGCTCCCATTTAAAGTCAACAGGACTTGTGCTCCTAAGTTAGCTGTGTGTTTTGGAAAATCCCACCCCTCTAGAAAAATGCAGCCACCAAAAAAAAAATTGAATCTTTGATTTTGTTTTTCCTAAACTGTGTGTGTAAGGTGGGGAAACTTCTCCAAATTAATTCCAGCGGTTTGTGCTGACCATTCTCTAGCATAATGGCGTAAACTTAGTGCTTTGTTCACCTGAATAAAAATTGCTGAATTATATGCACTGGAGTATCCTTGTGCATGCACCAGTTAAAGCAAACAAGCTGTAGTGTTGTGGATATCTACACAGTATGTGAGAAATTAATGCTTAAGATGACATTCCTCATGACTTTCAGTTGGCCCTGAGGGTTCTCATGATCAGGTTTATTGGCTTCTAATTTAACTTTTTTAATTGTTCAGTTAGAGAGTACTTAACCAGCATGGAACAATTCAGAATATTATGATACATTTGTAGGGTGTTGCATGACTGAGATTCTCACAGACCAATTATCTAATTATTTTGGTTTGTGTATTGCATAAAAGAAACAAAACCACCAGACTAACACTGTTGGCTCAATAGCACCTGGTCTTTCATGTACAGTGCTTATCTCTATTCATTTAGAGTATTTAGCTATAAATAGGGGTGTACTATTAGCAATACTAATAGTTTTGCAGAAATCTGAGTCTTAATAGCTTTCTTAAATGTATAGTAAGTCTCATTAAATGCACTATTTTGTACTGCACTTACACTAGAGTTGGCACAGTTAAGCCTGATGAAGGATTAAGGCTGTACCAGAATCATTCACTATGTCTTCCCCAAAATTGGTATTTTTATTGTGCCTCTAACTTAAAAAAACAAGTGCAAGAAGAGTCCATGGAGTGGGAAAAATATCAATGTGCAGCATGTAGATAACTTCTGGAACTTCACTGAAGCAATAACTATATTTTGTTACTGTAAGAAAAAGTAAAATGATGTTGCTAACTCAGGATCGCCCTTTATTAAATAGCAGAATTAAATTGTCTGGGATGTCTGGTTATTGTGAATTCCTGCCTTAATAACATGCTGATTCTGTTACTGGGAGATTGATAGAAACAAAAACAAGCACTGCAAGCCCAAACCTTATACCTGAAACTTGGGGAATTACAATTACTGGTAAGACATGGCATGACCAAAGAACATAAAAATATTCTCACTAAAGTGTGGACATGGAATGAGATGGTGATGTGTCTGCCTACCTGAGTAGGTGAGCCTGCGTAGTGCAGCATAGGTTTGCTGAATTGCTTAGGTGGTGTCAGGGTAACAGGCTTCTAAAAACTGTAACGGCACAACTTGCATGTAGGTAATTAGAGATGCCAGAGGGATTCAGATATATTGGTTATGTTGAATAAAAACTGATTAGTTGTATAGATGTACCAATGCAGTTTCTTCATATGAAAATTCTGTATGAACTGCTCTGTATTAAGTTCTTTCTTTTAACCCTCTGAATTCTAGAAATAATTCTGCAAGCTCTATGTGCAACTCACTCATTTCACATTATAAACAGTGCAGCCTTCAGCTAACAATTTCAGGAACTCACCTACCTTTTTTAATACTGCAGTTTTCTTGCCTGGAACTCCTAATAAAGCACAGTATTGGACTTGACTGCCTTTGGGACATGCTTCATAACTAAACTGCATATGCCCAGAGGCTGTCACTCTCATGCATTGAGTTGAAAGGTAAAGGTGCACTTGGGTGGAAACCTTTCTTTACTTTTAGTGGTGCAGTAGGCAAGTAGTGGATTAACTGTTCTATTTGAGGTGGTAGACGTTTCTAGAGGTCTAGTCTTTTTAAAACTGCTTTCATTTAGGCTAACTCTTACCACATGAGACTTTTCAGGAGTACCGGTAAGTCTTAATAATTTAAACCTTTACCAGTGGTGTGTCTATATAGATAAACTATATAAGTTTCAAAATGCAAAGAAGTTAATCACCTTATAGTAAGTGTAGGTCTGTGCATTCTGTACACATGGATCCCACTCTTATACACAGGTGATCAGAATCTTTTAACCAGCAGTGTGTGTTTGGGGCTGTGGATGTGCCCTGTATGCCTTCACACCACCCCTCTTGAGGGTGCAGCATCCCCAGCTGCATATAGAACATCTTGAAGAACCTCAGTTACTGTCAGGTAAGTAACCATTGTTTCTTTGTGTGTGTACATGTGTATTCTGCTCTTGGTGATTACTTCGCTGAGACAGGAACCTATGTTCTAGAGGAGTTAAGCCTGAGTAAAGACTCATACTGCTTGAGCAAACGGGGCAGCAGAGATGGAGGCTGATACCTGTGAATAGAGATCCATGCTGCTGCTCAGCATTTCCAGGTTAGGCTAGAAACCACCCCTGAGATTACCTACTCTGATCTCCTGCATAACACAGCTCTAGGAGTCCCAGGAATTAATTCCTGCTTCAATTCCAAAAGCTATGGTTGACTGGTTTTCAATCTGTGGTCCATGGATCCCTTGGGGTCCACACACTGTGTAAGATTTCCAAAGGGGAGACAAATGAAAAAATGTTGAAAATCACTGGCCTAGAGCATATCTTTTGACTTAAAATTACAATGGGCTGTGGTGGACTCTCCCTCACTGGAGAACTGTTCCTCATGGTTTAGGCTGAAGGATTCAAGCTATTGATTATATTTCTCTGCTAAACAGAAGAGCTATCAAATTTGTGTTCACCATGTAGGTTTTAACTTGATCAGTCTAAGCACCTTGGAGTCTTATAATGCACATTTTTAATAACGCTTGTAGCTCTTCTCTTCCAATTTATTACCATCATTCCTGAATGGTGGACACTGCTGCACCAGTGCTAATGAGGTAATACAAGTTTCCTACTCCTGGCTGTAGATCCAAGGATTGCATAAGATTTTTTGGCTACGGCAGTGTTCATGTTCATCTGATTATCTACCAGACTCTTGAGTCACTACATCCCAGGATCAAGTCCCCCATTGTGTAAGTATAAGCTTACATTTGCCCTGTAAGCTAGGTCCAAACACTTGAGATAATTAGTAAATCATGACAGTGGGTCAGAGATACCAAAGCCCCAAACTGTCAGTAATGGTTTTCTTCCAGTTCATTAATAAATATCAAGCCAAGAACCTATTCCTGCTGTAGCTCACTAGACAAACATGTTTGAGGCCTATGCACTACTGTTGCAGCTCTCTGTCCCAGGATAAGGTAGATGAGACCGTATCTTTTATTGGACCAACTTCTGTTGGTGAGAAGAAACCTTTACGCAGAACTCTCCATTAGTTTAATATATGCCATGTTCATTGGGTATCCATTCTAGTTTCTAAAGCTCAGATTTGTAAAGCTATTGAGGCACGAGTCTAAATTCCATGGTCATCTGATGGAATTCAGACTGACAGCTTTAATAAGCTAAGATTTAGGCTCCTAAATCAGTTAGGCATAGCAATGCTTAAATGTGATGTAGTACTACATCACATGCCTTAGAGAAGGTCTACATGTATACTCAGCAAGAGGAAGTTGAGCTGGCCAGCCAGTACCAACAATTTTGCACAAAATTAAGTGTGTCCTCCACTAATGGTATCGTGTAGAGGGAAGTATTAAATGCTATTTTAATTACATTAAGATCTAATTCATTTTGCCTTTCCCCAGCTAAATCTAGCATTAACCAAGAATACTGTAAGTTTTTAGTATTGCTTTTACTATCAGGACAGCTAACTTTTTAACACTCCTGTCCACAGGTAATTTTTTGTTTGTGTTCGTTTCAGCAAACACTAGGACATTGGTTAAGGAACAAATGTAGTACAAGGGGAAAAACCCATGTATGCTCTATTCCAAAAAGAGTAGTGTCCAGGTTGACTTAAGATGCTTTGCATTAGTGAGATCACTGCAGATGACTGCTGCAAGGCAATTTCTTCTATATCTGTTCAATCTACACATAAAACAGCAGTGCTGGAATGTAAATAAGATCAAAAACTTTAAGAGGCTTATGGCAGTAATTCTCAACCAGGGGTACCTCAACTCAAATAGATATTTGCCTAGTTTTAAAAGTACTAGCAAAAAGTCAGTACAATGAGTTGTTTATACACCTCTACCTCAATATAACGCTGTCCTCAGGAGCAAAAAAATCTTACCGCATTATACCGAACTTGCTTTGATCCACTGGAGTGCGCAGCCCTGCCCCCCCAGAGCACTGCTTTACTGTGTTATATCAGGGGTAGAGGTGTATTACTCTATATATTTACACTGAGATGTAAATTGAGGGATAATCAGAGACACTGAAATTTAAGTACAGTATTTTATAATTGTATGGTAAATGAGAATGTAAACAATTTTTCAGTAATAACTCTTTTTCCTGAGGTGTAATTTGGGGGTATATAAGACATCAGACTGCTGAATGGTTGAGTCACTGGCTGATAGTGAAGGAACATTTGCAGCACAAACTTCTAATTATAGTAGTAGCTGTCATTTTCCTACAGTAGGAAAAGTCTTGCAAGCTCACTTCAGGTGGGGGCAGATCTACCTTGACTCCTGGAATAAATCTAACTTTTTTGGAGTATCAACTACTGTTCATACTTTTTTCCAATCCATTAGTGCAGCACTCAATTTATCATGCACAAATAAATTGTCAGTTATTAAAAGTGAAAAAATAAAGTCCAAATTGTCATTTATGTGTACTAAGTCAGACTTTTACTTACAGCATTAAAACCCAAACATTAAGTTCTTAAGGCCTGCTTTCATTTGATTTTTCTTGTCTAGCCATCTTCACAAAATTAATTTTTTCTACACCAAGTTTAAGTTAACTGTATTCTTTTAACCCAGTAATAGATTTAAAAGTCAGCTCACCAAAAGCTTAATACAACTGTTTCATTGTTCAAGTCCCCTAATTTGGATGGAAGAACATACTTCAGATAACTGACATTAGTATGCTTTATTTACTAGGCAGGATCTGTCCCCCATAGCTATACTACTGTAGATTAACTTAATCAAAACAGGATTTGAAGTTTTGCTGCATGTAAGACAAATTAAAGCAATTAATAAAATTACACCTACAGTAGACACCATTAAACTCTCTTTAAAACATAAATAAGCAAGTGCAACCAGCCACTTATTTCACCCTTGTGAATATTCTTCACACTTAAGACAGGTCAGGTTTTATTTGAATGGGAATAACAGCAGTGGGAGACTATGCTGTAACTACCACATTGTAAAAAATCAATACAATGATGTTATAAAAATAAGCTAGTGGGATTTTGTATAAAATAAGCAATGTTGCATTATTTTGTTCAGATTGCACAGTACAAACAAGCTAATATCTAAATTAATACTGTTACAGGTATTTAATATTACATATATTGGGAGACAGCAGCTAGGAAAATAAGCACCTCAAAGCAGCTATGAGACTTCTGCAGCCAGCTTTTCAGAACAGTGTCCAAAAGTTAAAATAAAATCTTATATTTAATTACAGGTATACACATTATAAAATGTTGAAAAAAAGTAAGTATGCACTGCTTACATATTACTAAATTTTAGTAACAGTACATAAGTGATTCTATTTATATAAAAAATCCATTCTTGTGAAAGGAATTTACACATGAAATAAATAAACGTTCAGTAATCTTAAAATTAATTGTAGGTCAGAGTGGCCAAGTGTAAAAACCAAGCCACTTTTAAAATGTTACTTTAATGATAGGGCAGAGTAAAAGTATGTCACATCCAGAAGGAAGTGCAACTCTGCTTTAATTTTACTAGTTAGTTGTAACCATGCAAAATACACACGTACCTTCAAATATGGTACAACTCCAAGAGCATGAACAGCACACCCTTGAGAATATTTATACAAGAATATTCACAAAAACATACACTTTACAATTCTTTAATACAAAATATTTAGTGATATCAAATAGCATAATCTATTAAACACTTAGATCCCAGTTGACTCAGGCCATAACTTTTTAACTAGCTTCATCTTACAATTCATATTTTTAAGTGACAGGAAAAACAGGCAAGGTGGGGATGATTATAAAATGGTGTAGTCATCTCTTGCTTTCTCTCATTATATAGGAGATATTCAGAAGGTTGTTCAAATTAGGTGACGCATATGGCAAAGGGACCCATGAAATGGATGTTAAAATAAACTGCATTGATGCCTATTGCTGTCCTTCTGCAATCAATATCCAGTACCAGAGAGCAAGCTCAATTTAGAGGAAGAACAAGTCTTATTCACAATAAAACCAAATCTTTTCACATAACTATTTTCTTGGTTTCAATTGTAGGTGTTTTAAAACTGAAAGGTTGAGCTGCTTATTTGAGGTCACCTTATATTCCCATGGATTTGACACTCTCTATTCAATGCTTGTAGAAATCAAACATTAAAATCCAACCCAGGGAAGCATGTCTGAAAGCTGGTTTGCTTCCTTACAATCCTGATAATTTGTGTACTTATCTGCCAGCTGTGCTATCATCAATAACAACTAAAATCATGTTAGGATACAGTGCAGTCATAACTGCCTTCCTGGAGAGGATCCTCCTCCTCTGCCCCAGACATGTCCTCTTCATGTCGACTCACACTGCTACTTCCACTATCACTCTGAGGGCTAGTGCTATGGCAGGTCAAACTCCGGCTTTCCTCTGCCCTTGGGCTGGCTTGTTCAGTAACCTTACAAGGGTTCACTGGTTGAAAAGCTTCAGGCTGCACTTGCTCTTCTGATATCTCACTTAGTTTCTGGAGCTGTGGCTTGATGACATTTAAAAATGGCTTGTACCCAGGGCTAAAGAACAAAGAAGGAAGAGGTAACTATGCAGTGAACTAAAAATAGCATTTCATTCACATTCTGCCCTCTAGGCTTCAGCAGTAAACCATGACTGTAGACCCACCTATTAGAGCTCTTGCATAAAGCGCATAGGGTCAAGCTGCTACTGTCAAACAGTGACAGCAGTTCAAATAGAGACCATTGTTTCAGGGGACTGTGCATTATAACAGACTGTTACAGAGCTGTGGATTTCTATAGGGAAGCTGCTAAGGAAAATTCTATTCTGAGTGACTAAACAATGTAAATAGAGACCCACGTAGCACAACATTGTCAAAATACCAAATTATATATTGTAATAGGAGGGTCCCTTCATTTATTCAAAAGAATTTTAAAACTTATAAAGTAATAGTGGAAAACACAGCACTGTGTTCTGTAATTAGTAAAAATGTAAAGTGATAAATTTTCAATACAACCAGAAACCTAAGTAATCAGTATATTGCAGTGGCACTGAAAAGCCTCAAACAGGATCAAGACCCCATTGTTCCAGGTCTTGTACAAACACACAGGAAGAAAAGAGACTGCTATGTGAAAAACCTCAATAATAAATATAAACCCCAAATTGAATTACGTACAAATTCTGTATTCAGCCATCTATCAAAACTAATCTGCTGCAATGACACTTACCAATCTGTGGAAGCCCATCTGTCTACAGCATGTAGCCCAGTCTTGATATTCTGCCAGATCTCTCCATCAGCATCAGAGGACTGCATTATGATAAAAACCTGGTTGATTATTGAAGACTCTCTGAGAATAAGGCCTATGACAATGCACCAGTCCAGACATCCTGCTTCCATGAAGATGTGTAGCAAATACCTATAAGAACAAAACAGTTCATGCAGTGGCACGCTTTTCCTCCTCCCAAGGACAAAATTCAAACAACGCTAGATCACACACATGCTAAAAGCAAGAGTGAACATATTTTAGTCTCAATTCATCTTATGATGATGTAACTTACCGTAGTTGGACCTGTGACTTGTGTGGCCCTTTACTAGCCAATTCCAGAGAGAGATGTTCCAGCTCTGACTGTGTTAAACTTAGAGTGGAGATGTTTTCATCCACCATGGTCCAGTCACCATCCACAATAGAACTTGTTTCTGTCAGGTCTGTTGCTGAACCAATGCTGCATTCATCACCTACCAAAATACATTCAACAGGATATTCAGAAAGCCATCTATTAATTTATCAGGTGTCAATGTTTTCTTTTGCACTGCTTCCTCCAGAAACTGACTGGGCTCATTTAATAGTTAAATATTTACATACCAACGTAACTAGCTTTGGGATTCAGTAAGGGTGTTATTGGGTACTGAACAGCTAGCAGTTAGCCAGGAGCAATCTGAATGTAGGTATATTGTCCTTCTAAGGATTTAAAGGTCTTGTTGGTGCATTGGATTAATATATACTTAAAGATAGACTTGCTTTTCTTTGCAAGCTGTTTTTTCAGTAGCAATTCTTGTTTGTACCAGGTAAAGACAATCCCGCAGGATAAACTGAGTAGGAAGAGTAATATGTATACAACAGGTCCCCCAGGCACTCATACAGATCATTTGGAAAATAGTGAAGTACAGTTGAGCTCGTGGACAGATGTAGAAATCTCCCAAACACTATTAGTAATCAGAATTACTACGGTGAACATCTTAATTGATCCTAAAACTAGAGTCAGTGGAAATAGGTTACAAGGCTGTTCTTAGCATGTGCGCAACATGCCCCAGGTGGCACATGACCAAGATTCATCGCCAAATTTGGTCTGCTGGTTGGATCATTAGCTTTCCTGAGCACGACATGAATGCTGATTCATGCACCCAGTTAAAAGTTATTTCCAACAGTCCTATGTGCCTTTGATTCCTGTTTATGCTCTAAAACTGACAGTATTAAGATGAAGTGAGTGAAATGGTCATGAAAGATACAAATAAGTCTGAAGAGCAGGAGTGGATTGGGAAGTGTGAAACTGATTTAAAATTGACTAGTCTTTTTCCAAATGAAGCAAGATACAGAAAGGAAACAGTCAAATTTTGTTATTAAGATCATCAGTTTTAATAGTTTCAGGTGCTACCAACACAGGTAAGGACCTTTTCTTAAAAAAAAAAAAAAAAACCACATCACACATGATTTTTTACTTTCAATTCCTTTTAAATACAGCTGTCGCTTGCATGGTCATAGTCTTCAATTCTGACTCAGCCACAAAGTTGTCAATGCACTTTTAAACGTTTTTAGTATACTTTTCCACTGACTGAGCCAATCTTTTCTGCATTATGGTATCACCAGATAACAGGACAGCACCATACAGCAGTCATGTGCATTCACAGGACAGCACCATACAGCAGTGATGTGCATTCATGACAAATGATGAATACTTAGATGCAATTTTCTGAGGGTGATGCAGAAAAGGATGTGTGTGTGAGAGAGAGAGAGAATGAGAAATAACCTACCTTTATTTAATAAAGGAGAGAGGAATGCATCTTGCATGTGAGGTCCATGGGATGAAACTGTGTCCATTTCTCTCTGGGAGGAATTGATGGTGCTAAGCCAGCTGTGACTCTGAGGTGCACTTGAGACCCCTGTGTCCATTTCCACATTTAAAAAGCTGTCTGCAGACTGGGACTTGAGCAGCTGCTCTCCAACAGCTAGAAATAAGGAGGCATTTATAAAAAACTGACCTACAATACAAGTAGCCATTTTTTATACATCTCCCAAACAACTTTTTACAGTTATATCCAAGTCAAAATTCAAGTAATTAAGTTGCTGACAAACGAACAAATGCAAGGGAATGCAGATCTTATGGCTATTGCAAGACCCTTTGATCAGCCTCAGTGTACCTAGACACTGGCACACAGTGAAAGTGCCATCTAATATGTTGCTGGCATAGCTGAGCTACCACGTAAACTCACTTTTTTGCAATCTTGAGACAAACTCAGTCTAGCTTATAGAATTAAAAGATGCTTTAAGATTGCAGTGAGATCCAGGTGGTAATCTCACAAAATAATATATTGAAAGATGTAACAACAACATTGTAATACAGGTTTGAAAACTGCAGCATATTCTCACAATTTTAACTCTTCCATCTCACTACCACATTGCTAGCAAATTTCAGCAGGTCACATGAAAAACAAGGTGTATCTCTAAAAATCAGATAAAGCTGATCAAATGCCCATCTAAAACCACATAATGTACTGATTTTAGTCACATTCTTTGGCTGAAATTATATAAAATGTTGTGTCCAGACTGACCTGGAACAGAGATCTAGTTCTCTGATTTAATACAGCTAAAATATAACTTCTGAGACAAAATAGGAAATCTCAACAGAAGCTACAACATAACATAACTACTGCGAAGACATGATGTCTATGCTAAACAGAACCCCTTCAAAACCATGCAAAGTAAGGAACTGTGCAGGTGATAAACCTCAACCTGTTCTTTGCTTGGCTGAACTGAGATATGAGAGATTCAAAGTAATGGAGGCAGGACTGCAGGAAAGAAACCTAGCCCACCAAAATAACTCAGATGGTACAGCACCTGTCTTGTACTTTCCATTCTTGAAAGGTGAATTAACAGAGCAAGCTGGTATGACTGGAAATGGCCAGAGAAAATCTTTGTGTAGTCTCTTCAAGGCAATCACAAAATCCTCCACACGGGCAGCTCGGGCTCGCTCCTTACACAGCCAACCAATCAGCTCAAAGCCTAGTTGCGCAGCAAAGCATCCAAGGTCTTTAAGCCTGATTTCCTCCAGCAAGCGTCGAGCATGACGCCAGAGCATCATATCAATGTACATATTCTCAGCACAGTCACTGTCTTTACTCCACCTGTGGACCAACACAAGAGAAGAGAAGAGGTGATATTAAGACTGTAGCTTGAAAGTCACTTATAGATCAGCTGTAGCACAGATATATGAAATTGCAAACTAAGTTGAGTAACAATTTAATGGTGAAAACCACTTGCACGTTGATAAAAGAGACTACGCATTACCTGGGGTTCCTTTACCCAAGAGCCTCCGCTATCACTATGAGCTATGTGGCAATAGGAATGTGGTAGATAGAAACTAGATAGGCAGCACCAGCTGCAGGGGCTTAAAGTCTTAGCAGTGAAGGCAGGGCTACATGTCACTAGGGAAGCAAGGAGCAGCCCCCCTTCCAAAGTGGCCTCTCAGAGAAAGCAAACTCCAGAAGACTGTGGCACTAGCAGTTTCTCTCACAGACAAGCACTCCTGCCACTCTCTAAGCCCTCAGCTGGGGCTCCAGTCACACCCCTCTGCATCACCCCACTGAGCCTGAACCAGACCCCCACCCCACCCAGCTCCACACTCCCAGCACCCAAACCCCCCACTAAACCCCACACACCCCCTGCTGAGCCCTAACCATCTTCACATGGACCCCCTGGCAGAGTCCCATTGCCCCTGCACCTGGAACCCCCCCTCCCACTCCCAATAAGCCCCTCTGCATCCAGATGCCTCACAGAGCTTCCCACACCAAAACTACCACACACAGAACCCTCTTGCCCCACACCTGGATCCTGCTAGCCTGAACCTGCCTGCCCACACCTGGTGTGCCTGGCACAGAGGGGCAGAGCCCTGGGGTGTTTCTGGGGCCAGCCCAGCCCTTGCGCTGGGTCAGGTGCAGCCTCACCTCCGAGTCCCTGTCCTTGGGTGAGGTACTATAGGATGATCTCCCTGGTATAGGAGCCAGTGGCCTGTACTCCCCACTGCCATGCTGGAGCCTCCACATTTATTTATTGACAAATTAAAATGTGCAGAATTTTTAGGCTCAGAATTCCCTCAGGAGTAGCAAGCTTTCAGCAAATGACTCTTCAGGAGATGGATATGCATGAAAAATCATGATAGTCTTGCAAGTTTTGTGAGAGGTGAGCTTTTCCCTGGGTCAATGTTTGATACAGGTACCAAGTGTCTAACATTAACTTTAAATACTGATCCAGGAAGTGGACTTTGTGCTGGTGGTGGAATAGTAGCAATCTTCAAACAGGAGAGGCCTGTGAAGTCCAAACCCACTGAAGAAGATAACAGAGGAAATGTGCTTCATATTACCGCCAAAGCACAGATATCTACCCTGTTCCTTCGTACACCAAGCACCATATCTGAGTGGGAGAGGGACACTGCCTTTAAAAACAAAATGTACAGTATTCTGGAACACAAATGTCTTACTGGATCAGACCAGGGGTCCATCTAGTCCAGTACTTGGTCTTTAACAATGGCCAATACCAGCTCCTTTACAGAAAGGAAGGAAATGGAAGGAAAATAGGATAGCCTGCTCCCAATAAAGTTCGTCCTAACTTCCAATAGTTAGAGATCTGAGTAAACTCTGAAGCTTAATGTTTTTATCCCTTTATGGGGTTGAAAGAGGTTGAACACTATGTAATTTTAAAAATAAAAGTACCACAAGAAAAACAAAACTGATACTTGGGAGAAACATTTAGATACAATTATTAATTGTATCTCATATGACTAGTCCAGCAAAACCTACTCTGGTAGAACACCACCAGATTCAGAGAAAGCTGGTCCATTCCACATAAGAAGTGTTTAGCGCTCCTTGAGAAAGATTGATTTTCTTTTAGTAGGAGGCCTGGTCTACACTGGGGGGAGATTGATCTAAGTTACGCAACTTCAGTTACGTGAATAACGTAGCTGAAGTCGACGTACTTAGACCTACTCACCGCGGTGTCTTCACTGTGGTGAGTCGACTGCTGCTGCTCCCCCGTCGACTCTGCCTGCGCCTCTCGCGGTGGTGGAGTACAGGAGTCGACGGGAGAACGCTCGGGTGTTGATTTATCGCGTCTAGACTAGATGCGATAAATCGACCCCTGCTGGATCGATCGCTGCCCACTGATCCGTCGAGTAGTGTAGAAATACCCCGAGTCTTTTACAAGAATCTTTGATCTGGCAGCTTAGGGAAAAAGATGTTTCCCTGGACAGAATCCTCCCACCATGAAGATGACAACTGCACACAGTGAAAAATTCCACCTGCTCAGAAGCACAAAGATTTAGGAAATCAATGCTTATGGCTAAAAATTCCATAGGGAATTTCTGTGCTTGGGCTGGTAGGAACTCTTAATACCAAAGTCATAAATCTAACAACTTCGATCTAATTATTAGAAATATCTTAATTTTAAATGGTACAAAAAAGGAAAAAGTTTTAAAATAGCTTAAGATTGGAGAAAATTCTCCTAAGAACATGACTGAACTCAGCTTGTAGGACATCAGTCTGACTTCACTGTAACTAAAATTGATTTGAACTGCATACTTTCACCTGTAATTGCCAGAATTATTATTCATACCTGTCTGTGTAGTGCTACGCTCACTTAACTTGCCTTACTATCTGTTGTATTGCTTAAAAGGACTAAACTTGAAACCTTTAGTTTGATGAGTATATAACTAAATTTCAGCATTCACATAGCACTTTTGTAGCTGGCATTGCAAGATATTTACATGCCAGATAAGCTAAACTTTCATACTCCCCTTCATGCTTCGGCTACCATTCCAGAGGACATACTTCCATGCTGATGATGCTCGTTAAAAAAATAACGCATTACTTAAATTTATGACTGAACTCCTTGGGGGAGAATTGCATGTCTCTGGCTCAGTTTTACCTGCATTCTGCCATATATTTCATGTTATAGTAGTCTCAGATGATGACTCAGCACATGTTCATTTTAAGAACACTTTCGCTGCAGATTTGACAAAACGCAAAAAAGGTATCAATGTGAGATTTCTAAAGATGGCTACAGCACTCGACCTAAGGTTTAAGAATCTGAAGTGCCTTCCAAAACCTGAGAGGGACGAGGTGTGGAGCATGCTTTGAGAAGTCTTAAAAGAGCAATACTCCAATGCAGAAACTATAGAACCAAACTACCAAAAATGAAAATCAGCCTTCTGCTGGTGGCATCTGACAGATGATGAAAAGGAATATGCATCGGTCTGCACTACTTTGGACTGTTATCGAGCAGAACCTGTAATCAGCATGGACACATGTCCTCTGGAATGGTGATTGAGGCATGAAGGGACGTATGAATCTTTAGCGCATCGGAAATGTAAATACCTTGCAACACTGGCTACAATAGTGCCATGAGAACACCTGTTCTCACTTTCAGGTGACATTGTGAACAAGAAGCAGGCAGCTTATCTCCTGCAAATGTAAACAAAACTTGTTTGTCTGAGCGATTGACTGAACAAGAAACAGGACTGAGTGGACTTGTATGCTTTTATATTGTTTAACATTGGTTTTATTTTTGAATGCAGTTTTTTTTTTTTTTTTTACATAATTCTACATTTGTAAGTTCAACTTTCATGATAAAGATTACACTACAGTACTTGTAATAGGTTAATTGAAAAGTATTTCTTTTGTTTTTTACAGTGCAAATATTTGTAATAAAAATAAATATAAAGTGAGCACTGTACACGTTGTATTCTGTTATTACTGAAATCAATATATTTGAAAATGTAGAAAATATCCATAAATATTTAAATAAATGGTATTCTATTGTTTAATCCTGCAATTAATTTTTAATCACTTGATAGCCCTATGAAGAAGCTGAATTATAGTTGTTGCAGTCCAGTTACTTCATTAAGTTTATACTTGGTTATTTGATATTCCGTCTCAGTTTAGCTGTTGAATTATGTTAAAAATTGATGCTGTTAGTATTTTGAAGTGAACACCAGTGTGGTTAATGCTCAGAGGTTTTTGAATTTTATACTCAGCTTTATAACTAGTCCATTCAATATAGTTAACCAACCATACTTTAATTTACTTTATATTTCAGAATTTCATGTTTTGTTTAGCGGTTGTCTTAAGAGTTGCCACACTGTATCATTCATTTTATTTACTTGTTTATGTGGTGTATATCATTTGCATGGTTTATTGGTTTTATCATTTTTAATTACTTAAACACTCTTTATTTCAAAGTCAAGTTAATTGTTTATTTTGGGGCAGCAGTGTATAAAAGAATCCATGTTAAGTTTTGCAGTGATGCACTCACAATGCAGTCGCATTAATAACCATAATCAGTAAGTCCAGCTTTTGATTTGGTTTTCCTGAACTAGTCATGTGAGAAGCAACTAATTAGATAAATAATTCCATCTAATTAATTGTTTCCCCAAAATATTCATTTTGCTAATTGCTTGTTTCTTTTGGTAATTTTACTGGCATCCAACCCCTACCACACCAGGCCTTCAAAAGCTTTTGTTTCTTAAATTTTATAATATTTACTGTAACAACTCTGGATATTCTTGTTATCCATGTAAATGTCTGTTTTATTACACCTGCTAAGTTCTTGACCTTAGTACTATCTTGTTGCATTCTGAGTAAAGATCAAACACCGTGGTCCGAAGGGTCATTTTCCTCAAAATGATTTTAAAAATACAATATTGGACAGTAACTTCCTATGGACAATTCTGGTTTGTGTTCCCTGCATTTTATCTTGTTTACCACTTCTAAGCAGAACAAAGAAGCATCCGATGAAGTGGGTTTTAGCCCACGAAAGCTTATGCCCAAATAAATGTTAGTCTCTAAGGTGCCACAAGTACTCCTGTTCTTTTTAATATCAAAGTTACAGCTCATGCACGTAAAAAGTTATGATAGATGGAAATCGAAGTAGCCAATATCTGCAGTAAAAGCAAAGGGAGAAATATTTCTTCTGCAGTATTAGGTGAGATGCAGTTAATGGACATGTGAGTGCTCACTGTAGAACCTCCAGGGGTCTGTGGAATCTCACAGCACACAGAACACCACTAAGGTTGCTGTCAGGGCCAAATTAAGACAATCTAGGGTCCTGGGCACCCCCCACATAACATCTCCCCACCCCCCCTACCCATGCTGTGGCCCAGACCCTTTCAGGACTAACAGGTTTCACATTTAAGATGAATGGCCCAGCTCACACATCCCAGAGGTACTATTTCAGGCAGGCATCAGTTATATTTGGTTCACACTTTTCAACTTGTCTTTGCATCCATAACGGCTAGAAACAATTTTTTTTTAAACAGAAACTGAAATCCTGATCTCACATGACTCCAGGAGTCATGAGTGCCCATGCCTAAATATAGCCCCATTGTATAATTTGTTACAATGTAAATAGTTTGGATGAGTGGGGCAGGAACTATTCTCTGTACAGTGGCCCAGCATGGTAGGGATCAATCATGAATTGTACTATGATACAAATGTTACCTTTTCCCAGATGGACCAGAAGGCATGCTCAGTGTTTTCTGTAGATTAAATTTGTTAGCAGGAAGATTCTCTGCTGATTGAGATAAACTAATGCTGCGATGTCTGAAGAACTCAAAGCCACCAGTTGAGCTGGGTTCCTACAACAAAGAAGCATATGACCAACTAAAGTAAAAACATGTTACATCCTGGGTATACATGAGATTCATTATGTTTAGTGACTGATATACAAGATTTATGATTTTCTTAACAAACCTGAGTTGTGGGTGTAGGTGGCGGAGTCTCTGATTCACCAGAACCAATGGCTTTAAGAAATCTGATCATGTGACGACAAAGGTCCCACTTTCCCTGCTCCAGGGCAGTGTTGAACAGAAGAGTGGCATGCTGCCTACTAACTGCTGGAACCTCCATGTTCTACAAGTAACAATGCACAATATAAAAATAATTTGCTTCTGAAACCCAGCAATACTTTTGGAAAAAGTCAAGCCCCCGCCCCAGCAGTATGCTCAAAAATGAGAGTTGTAGGTAAAGGCATATTTCACAGTTTTCCATTTTGTTAAGTGCCATTTTAGGGACCTATTCATATTTAATTTTATCTCTAAACAGATATAATTGAGGTGAGTTGCCCACCAAAAAAAGTGTTACATTTATTTTTAAAAAACAGTTATGCCAAACATGCAATAAATTGTTTAAATAAAACCAAAAAAAATGGGGACTAAATGGTCACTTCTTTTTTGTAATCAAGTAGCAGGATACTATTACCTGTAGGATAATAAGGTAAGAGGCAGCTGTGTCTAAGTCCTGGGCCATTAAGCACTCCTCAAATAAGTCTTTTGGGTTTCCAACAGCAGCAAAAAGGTAATTCCACAGGGCATATTCCGTCTTCCTAGCACAATGAACAACTGTCTGCAGGAAAAGGGGGAACTCTGTAATGAACTTAGCCACAGTGGGAAGCAGAGGGTCGGGAATGGGCTCCCGCGAGGTAGCTTCTTCTTCCAGCACTTCATGAAGCATCAGTTCTAGCACATGAGGAAAGTAAGGTAATGTGGCACAGGAGTGGGCCAAAAGCAAGGCTTGCTCTCCTAGGTTCCTCACCAAAAGCTGGCGCAAAATGTGATGGAGGTAGATCTGAGAGGTTCTCTCAACAATACAGAAAGGAAAGAGGACCTCCAAATGTTGTCTAGCACTGCTGTGAGTGTATAAACAGTCGTAGAGTACAGTGTCATTGACAGCACCAAGAACCAAGGCATCTTCAAACAGAACAGCCAAGGGGTATATGTTGATGTGGAAAGGCAGCATGATCCGTCTTGACAAAAAGGAATGTGGTTTGCGGTGATCCCTGGGAAACAAAGGAAGCCAGACTTTCATACCTGACCCACCACAGCTGAGCCAGAGTGCCTCCAGTAAGTGGCGCTTTTGTTTGTTTGCCCTACAGGTAGTCCAAACATTTTCAACCGACTGGGCTAGCACAACTGGAGCACAAAAAGGCAGCTGGGGAAGAAAAGAAAGAAGATCTTAATACCCTTTTAATTTGTGCCTCATCTCACTAGTATCCTTCCTTCAGTTGAAAGGGGTGACAGCACATTTCACTCCCATTTAATAGATTTGTCGGTGAGGGGAGTATATGATAGAAATTCACTATGGTAGAGAATTATGTATTTTTATTAGGCATTTCTAAAACTCTAGTCAGTGCAAGTACTCAAGAAAGCAATTCAACCTGCGTTTCCACCTCCACAAACCTAAAACTGGCAAAGTACTGTATACCACGGATGTTTATCAAATACTGCCCACATCCATTTTAAAGGTTTTTTCACAAATACAGCTTGTTGTCACCATGGGGTCATTACTTTTCTAAAAGTGAGGACTAATAAGAAGTGCAATTCCTATGCAACTTAGTCTAGCTGCATTTTGGGCACCAAGAAAAAGCTCCAGTATTAACCCACCAAGAGGGATCTCTTTCATTCCTCACCTACCAGCTGATGCCACTGACAATTCCAGTCAGAAGGCTGGTCAAATTGCCTATTTTTAGCACAGAGTGTAGGCTAGAGCTGGTGGGTTACTGTAAAAATAATGTTTGCAAGCATTCACTTGAATCCAACCATGCTCACGCTCACACCTCTCTCTGCAATTTCTGAAGATTCACACACACATCATTAGTATGAATGATTGTGAAATTGTTGCTCTTCATATGACTATCTACACATTGTCATAAGAACAAGGATAGTCCTACATTAATTTCTCTTATCTCTTAAGAAGTTGGTCAAAAATGCAGTATGTGCCTGAAGGGGACGACAAACCACAAGTATTCAAAGTGAACAGTTTAGGAATAGCCCACAGGTCGAAAATTGTTTTCCCAAGCTTCGTACAGCACCTGTCACAGTGGGATCCTGATCCATGATTGGGACCCCTATGTTACAGCAATACAAGGGGTAAATAATCTGATTGTCAGAGATACTTGCAGAAATAAAAACTGGCTTGTGAATGATTCGTGAACAGAAAAGAGGGCTGCATTTGTCAGGTAATTTATTCACAACAAATAATTCAACCAGTTTTAGCACAGCATTGAAGTGTAGCTACACACTTGTTTCTAGGCCGAGATCAATCACCTTCACAACTTGCTGAGTCCTCAGAACCTTTGAAAATTCTTGTGTAATCCCAAATATGTTTACTCACAAGTTTCCTTTGGTTAGGACTGCTGTCCTTCTCTCGGATCTGGGGGCCAGACCGATCCCTTTGTACCATGATGAGTTGTCCTGCTAAGTTTAACATAATGCTTTCTGCCTCACAGGCCTGTGGGGGGAAAAAAAGTGTAAATTACTTATCTCTAAACTTTTCTGAATCCATCATTTTTGCTTTGATATGTACAGTATAGTCTCTGCATAAACTCACAGCCAAACGCAAATTCAGAACACTGGCACTCCCACTAAGCACATCTTTATAGGAGGCTTGTAAATACTAGCTTATGAACTCTGGATACAATTCTTTCTACCTATCTTCCAAACCAGCTTGCATATAAAGGAGGACAGATGCAAATACTCAAGGCTTTGATCTGTTTTAGGGAGGAACCTACCCCATATGCTCCCTAAAAGCTTTGCTTGCCTAGGAGTAAAGCATGTAAACTGGGGATATGTTGGAGGGAGGTGCTGGCCTTTCCCTGCTCTTCATTTTAATCAAACAGTTTAATTGTATGCAGAGGTTTCAGTGTCCAACTTTCCTCAAAAAGGCTCTAAGGGTATGTCTACATTACAATTTAACACTTGCTGTTGGCCCACGTCAGCTGAATTGGGCTTGCAGGGCTTGGGCTGTGCCATTGTAAAATAGTGGTGCAGACGTTTGGGCTCAGGCTAGAGCCTGGGCTCTGGGACTCTTCCCCATCATGGGGTCCCAGAGCTCGGGCTTCAGCACTAGCCCAAACATCTACACTGCAATTTTACAGCCCAATAGCTTAGCCTGAGCCCCACAAGCCCAAGTCAGCTGATGAGGGCCAGCCAGAGGTGTGTAATTGTAGTTCAGACATACTCTAAAACTGCATTGCATAATGCCATGGTTTTTAAAATGATGTTTAACAAGGAACAGCTCTTTTACCAGAGCTAGTACATAATGCACTCCCACAGACCTCTACGCAAATCTCAGTTAAAGGGTTGACTTGAGGCTGGTTACTGTATCTACCTCAGCTGTGGCTAAATAAGCTCCTAGCAGCTCACTGCCAGTTCAACTAGGGAAGAGCAGCACACAAGGACAGCCATTTTCAACACTTAACTTTTGAAGAAGAGAATAGAATGCAGTGGTTGTAGAGTATTTCATATTCCAAAAAGGAAAAAACCAAAAAGAACGTAAATATATATAATTATATGTACACAAAGTTAGTTCCTTTATTTTACCCAGATACATGCACCCCAATCATCTAAGTGTTCTTTGTGCCCCTTGCTTTTAAATCTGCTTATTTTAGTTAGCATTGCTGCTGGTCTGTGCAAGTGCCATGTGGTGGAATTGGTTATGCCAGGGTCAAGCCTTCCTAATACACAGAGGCAAGCCTCTTAAAGAGCCAATTTAGCATAGGAAGCAATCAGAAGAAACAAGCAAGGCTGGGCACCTATAGAAGGAAACATTTAAATGGTTCTACTGTAAAAGTGACTGTAAAAATGCCACCTTGTTCAACAGAACTACTCCCTGTGTCTCTTCGTAGTTTTGCCTCAACTTTAATTCTAAAGTAAGCTTTTTCTACTTCTGTTCTGTTGACTTTGCAGAGTCAACACTGCTACAGGAGAGGAAGATGGATTCCATTTTGGCTCAGTTATCAACAGAACCGTTAATCAAGATTGATCGCAGGGACTTTATTGTTAATGCTAGGGCCAGAAAGAACCCAGCTTAACTTTTATATTCAAGGTTGACTCGCAGAGATGACAATTAGAGTAAACACATTTTTACTTATAAACTCAACAAATTTGGTATGGAATTTCTTGACAGAAAAGCAATCAGGAAACCCAACCTGTAGTGTAAATGTTTCCCTCCCAAACAGAAGTGCACTTAAAAACCTTAAACGTTTAATACTACACTGATACTTCTATCTCTGAAAAATATTTATTTTGTTTTACATTTAAATCAACTGCCTGACAGCTTACATACTATCATGTGTATAAAGCCCACATCCAGTTTTTCATATCAGACTAGAAGGACCCGAATAGTAGATTCTCAGCATCTGAGATGGAAGACAATGAATTTGATCCTTTGCTTATAAGCATTTTCTTGCAGCTAGCTAAGAATGGCAAGACTGTGTCCTAGAGCTCATGATGATTTAGAGTCTGCAATGCAACTTCAGCACTGTGCACAGGAAGAACAGAATGCAAGAGGCATCTCAGAATGAAGCAGGAAGTGAACCAATGAAAGCTCCAACCCCCCATCCACTAGATCAGTTACACTTCTCACAGGCAATTAATCTCCCTTAAATAACCCAATAGGTAATAGTCTTTGGAAAGGAAGGATAGTCCAGAGTTAAGGGCACTAGTCGTCCAATTCCCTGCTCCACCACAGAATTCTTGTGCAACCTTGCACAAGATACTGTGCCACTCTGGGTACATGTACACTGCAGCTGAGAGCGTGCCTCCCAGACCAAGCAGACAGACACACACTAGTTCAAGGAGCGCTAGCATGCTAAAAATAGCAATGTGGATGCTGTGTCATGGGCTAGTCACCCAAGTACAAGCCCACCTGATCCTCTGGGTCCATACTCTGGTAGCTAGCCATGCTGCAACATCCACATTGCTATATTTAGGGCACTAGCTCAAGCAGAGCTAGTGTGTCCATCTACCTGGGCTGGGAGGCACGCTCCCAACTGCAGTGTAGACATACCTTCTGTGCATCAGTTTCCCATCTGTATAATGGAAATAATAGCTTCCCTACCTCACAGAGGTGTTGTGAGGATAAGTACATAAAAAAATTGTGAGACTATACTATGATAACAGGGCAATAAGTACCTAAGATAGAAAAGTTGATCCAGGCCCCAATGCTACATAAACAAATGATTACCCCTTTCCCAGGAATCAGCTGCCCCTTTAGATGGATTCACTGCCTAATTGACTTTGGTGGGTAATACCAAAAAGATGCACCTTATGTGCGTCCAGGGGTCCTACATTATAGAAAAAAGAGTTCTATGCATGTTCTAGAACAGCTTGGAATTTTATGGGCATTGATCCAGAAGATGTATATTTCATACCCACACTATTTAAATAGTTAAATGTATCCAGGTCTTTTGTTTGCTTGCTTGTTTTTGTTTTGATTCTTTTCGGCTTTAGCTCTCATACTAAACAATAGAAGCATTTTATAAATATTTGAAAAGCATCTTCAAAAGAACTCTTTATTGCTACTGTCTGATATCATCACCCAGGCAGAACTCCTAAGACTAAAACTACCAACTCCAAGGACTGTCAGTTATTTTTTATAAACTTCAACCACTCTAAAACACTGGACAGACTCATACCTGCTGTGGCATTTTCAAGCTGATGCCAGTCTCTGTTCTCACCGATGTCAGAGTTACAGAAACAACAAGGAAAGGATGAGGAATGTAACGAGACATGGATACCTCCTGAAGAACTTGAATACTGGCAGTAGGGTTAGGACTGTAAGGGAGGAAAAAAACAGCTGCTAAACATTTCTCCTCTAACAGTAATTAATGGACAATTACAGCTAGTTTCTAAATGCTTAATGATGGAAAATACTAATTTAACCATAGGAAGCAGAGCTCTTTCAAGAAACCAGAACAATTTCCCCTTAAACTGCAAAACTGTACCCAGGCCACTCTTCTGAACTGGATAAAGTTATATGTAATAAACCCATTAGCCTGATTTGTTCAATCTTGATAATTTATGGGAACACAGGAGGAAAGAGCAAAGTTCTCAATGTACCTCTCAATAGTGATGATTTCAATCTGGGTTTCTCTGAACAAGGCATTGGAACTATTCTCCTCCAAGTTAGACAACAGCCATCTCCCTCCCTACTGATGAAGGAGAGTACTGGCGCACGCCTTCCTGCGCCGCTTCCGAGGGCTCCAATACGACCGGCAGCTCTTTTATCTCGATCCGAGAGGTCTTCCGCGAGACCTCTCCGGGCTGCCGGTCTTCTACCAGGACCTCCTCCGGACCTGGAAACTGTTCTCAGCAACCAGGTCCGTGGCGGCCACCGGGGGGGCAGATCTCCTCGCGGAGCCCCTGCTACACAACCCCCAGCTTCGTGTGCAGGTGGCAGAGTCCCCCGCGGTGCGCCAGAGGTTGGTCCTGGCAGAAGTCACTAGAGTCGGAGACCTCCTGGACTACGACCGGGGAGTCTGGCTGGATCCCCTGACGCTCGCTCGGCGCATGGGGCTCTCCAGGCCTTGTACTCCCCGGCGCGTACTTCAGGAGGTGAGGGCCGCTTTGCCGCCCGCTGCTCGGGTCTACCTCGACCAGGTCCTGTGCGAGGGCACGCCCCGCCCACCCTCCACCCCTGGTCCTCCGGACCTCTTTATCGGGCCCCTGCCCCGTGGACCCAACCGGCCTCCCCGCCCCTTCTCCGTGAGCCGGCTGCACAACTTGCAGCCGGTTCGTTTCCTGACCGCGCCAAGGAAACATCTATACACGCTCGTGCTCCACACTCTTCACTTCCTCACCCTCGTGTCCCGCCCCGATACGAAGTGGCGGGACCTCCTGCCACCTGTCGAGGGTGAGAAGCCCCGGTGGGCCAGCCTCTATTCCACCTTGGTCCCGAGACCCGCCGGGGATGTTAGTTGGCGGCTCCTGCATGGAGCCGTGAGCACGGGCGTGTACTTGGCGCGGTTTACCCGTGTCCCTGACACCTGTCCTTTCTGCGGCGTGAGGGAGACCCTGGCTCACGTTTACTTAGAGTGTGCCAGGTTGCAGTCCCTACACCGGCTCCTCACCGACATTCTGTTGCGTTTTTGGTTACACTTTTCCCCTCACCTTCTCATTTATGCACTCCCTATCCGTGGCCCCACAAAGTCGCGGGACCTCCTGGTCAACTTCCTCTTGGCCCTGGCTAAACAGGCCATCTATAAAACCAGGGAGAGGAGGTTGGCAGATGGAGGTTCCTGTGACTGTGGGGCCTGTTTCCGATCCTCTGTCCGTTCACGTATCCGGGCAGAGTTCCTCTGGGCGGCGTCCACTGGCTCCCTTGACACCTTTGAGGAGCAGTGGGCGCTGTCCGGGGTTCTCTGCTCGGTGTCCCCGTCAGGTTCCCTCCTTTTGACCCTTTAATCGCACTCCTGTCCCTGTTTTTACATTAGTTGTCCCCCGTAATCATTTGGGTTTTAGGTCCTGTGGGTCCTCCCCCTTAGGCTGGGGGGGATCCTTTAGCAGTGGGCGGGCTTCGCCCGCCCACTTCCCGGAACCCAATAGGTACTGATGAAGGTTCCTTCTCTTTGATTTCAATGCAGGCTACAATATTGTGGACAACTCCATCCATCTAGACTACTGCAATAAATTATGAACCCTCCCTTGTTCTGGTTCTAATCCTCCCCACCAAATGGTGCTGACTTCTGTGCTAGATCCTCCTCTACACTAAGAGACTCCTCCTACACAGAGTCTAAAGGTTTACTTTTCACAGCCCTTTGCTTTTTTTTAACCTCGCTCCTCCTTTTCGGTCATCCTATCCTTCCTCTCCCTTTAATCTTAAATTTCCACTTTTATGATGATGATTCTCAAGTGCACATATGTTTCAGTGCATTTGATGACTCCTATCCACATTGTTAAGATATGAGGCATTATTTAAAGTTCCTTCAGCTAAGTATCTGAGACAGAAGTTTTTATGGGCAGGAAGGGCATTCTCCAACATTTTGCTCTTCAATTTAAAAACATACTTTTACTATTCACTTTCTGTAACCTTATCATCCTTGATTCAGAACTCACCTATTCATGTTTACTATGCTGTAAATCTGTCTACAATATGACCATCTCTACAGCACTGACCACATTTTTTTACCACTTTGATGCCACTTCCTCTGAAATCCTCATGGCCTTTTATCTTTTCTTTTCCTGACAGCTACCTTCTTTATGGCCTCCCATTTCTCAGCTTCGAATGTGGGCATATAAAGAGTAATTCTCAACTCCATTCTCCAGCAGCTCCACCAGCTCCTATTTGTTTACCCGAATCCTGAAACACTTAGTTCTTTTTAAAGTCTCCATGGAACTGTTCTTGCCTGTCACATGGACTCATACTGCCCGAGTGCCCATTCCTTTTGCTATCAGGTACCTCATCTCTCTGCAGCTCCTTCTAACAGTGGAAATGCCTCACATACCATCTGGAACAGTCTTCCTGTATCCCTCAGCCACTCCTAGTTCACACAACAAATCTCTGGCAGGACTGGGGAACAGGAATTAGTAGTCCTGACCTCTACTACTCTGCAAACATCTATCAGGGCCATTTGACATACAAGGCTGCATAAGGAAGGGTCAGAAATTAGAGGGGGAAAAGTAATAATGAACTGGAGCCCAAAGAGTTAGAAAACTTCTTCTCTATGGAAATCTTGTAGTGCCTTAAATGCTAGCAGCTAATCTTTTTCTGGACCCACTTTTAGATCATGAATCCTGTATCGGTTGCAGAAACTACTCTAGCTGAGCATTCACAAACAGGACAAGTTTCTTTCCTGTACATTTACTTATTGACTCAACAGATGTTCAAGCATCTTCAAGCTTCTAAACAAAAGTCTGCACTGAAGAAAGGAATTCCATATTATAGGTTTTCTGAACAAATACCAAGTAGGCTAAAGTAGCAGCTACATAAGCTCTACATAGTCTAGGTTTTTACATAAGAGTAGGCCACCACTTAAAGCAACCCAGAACAGTACCCTCAGGGACAAACTGTAGAATTTAGAATTCACTGGAAGAAAAAGAAAAAAAGAAGTAAATAAAAACCCAATCTGTCTAAAGCCTGCTCTTATTAACAGTGTATGTCCATTCACAAATGATATTTTGTATCCTTCCTTGAGAAACATTTAGAACCCTTAGAATTCTTTTTCTAGACACACCAGTTATCTAAAGATTTTGTATCACTGTTACATCCTGTAAAGCAAAGTAATGTTGTGAATACAGATATTTGCTCACTTAGGCAGTTGCTAGGGAGTGTAGAAGCAACTATTAAAAACAAGCACTTAGAATCTCTGAAAAAGGTATCTTCAACTTCTGAAGTCATTATTGCCTTACCTAAATACAGCTTTCTAAAGTAAGAAAACAAGACAAAAAATTCCTCTGACTGATCTTTAAGTGCTATACCAATTAGTGACAAACCCTTCCTTCTCCAGCAGCTTACTTGTCAAAATGTACAGCAGACTTCTGTCCCTGACCATTTCCTCTAATTTTCCATGGTGAATGGAATGTGAAAACTAAACAGACAGAATTAACTGGTGGGTACAATTAGATTTTTTTAAATTCTCTATTTAGAAAAGAACTCTACAGATTTTGTAAAGTTACTGATACCAGTTTAAATAATATCAGGTCTGGATGCAGGTTTTATAAATTATGAAAGTTGTACACAGTTTTCACATGCTTGTTTATGCTAAAAATACAACATTTAAAAGCTACAATTTCTAACACTAAGGAGTGGACTGGAACCCAACATGTCTAGAGATACAGATAATTAGAATCAGCTAAGCCGTAGTCAATGCAAATTTAATCAGTCCATCTACCATCTTCCTCAAGTGTAATCTCCTCAATGTGTGATACAAGTCCCAAGAGAAAACACCAGAAGCCCAGGTTACTTTCCCTACCAGCTAAAATGGGCCAAGTTTTCAAATGTGCCCCAATTCTGACCCCTTTTTCACAAGCACAAGTTTGTAAGTGCACATTTCAGGCACTATCACCTACACACATAAATTATGTGGGAAAGTGATAGTGCTCAAAAAGTTTCTCTGGGTAAGTTTGTGTGCATGCAAACTTCCAAATATGCAAACCCTTGCATCCACATTTTGAGCATTATCATTCGCACACACAGGTGATAGAATTGCTACAAATGGATGCCATATTTTGAAAAGTTATCTCAAGAAGTTATCAAAGCCTATGATTAATCTTAAAACTAACAGTTTATGAAAGGAAATTACTCATGTAGAGGAGATATTTCTGAGTTAATTACTATAAAAATGTGGTAAAATAATTTTATAGACTTGCTTCAGTTGTACTCACCCATCAGGTTGTCTTTCAATACTATAAAGGCAAATAGAACAATCTGCTCTAAACAATATTACTATATCCCGGAAGACACTGAGTAGTAATGTTTCTGCCTGCACTTTGGTGACATGTGCAAATGCATTGTCCAGATTGGATGTTCGCAGGTAGATTCTTAGCTGTAAGGACAATTAATGGTTTAAACAAGAGTTCTCTTGCTGCAAACATCAATGTAACAAATACTTCAACAACAGATTCATTAATGCCTCATGGATTTTTGTGGTATGGCAAACATTTTAGGAAGCAATTTTAAATTGTATACTAAACTGACTGAGTGCTTAACTGGTAGTGCTATGGTAGTTATATCAACAGCAAAAAGTAAAAAAAAAAAAAATGAAGAGGATCAATTCTAAAACTGCAGACCTTGAACGAAGGAAAGTTCTTTCACCTTCCTCAAATATTCATCCAAATTCCTATTCACACTGAGCCTCTCCGGCCCCCCAATTGAAGAGTTATACAACATTGTCCCCAAACATGCCTCTATATTTAGTAAGGCTGTCAAGCGATTAAAAAAATTAATTGTGCGATAAATCGCACTGTTAAATAATAGAATATTATTTATTTAAATATTTTTGGATGTTTTCTACATTTTCAAATATATTGATTTCAATTACAACAAAGAATACAAAGTGTGCAATGCTCACTTTACATTTATTTTTATTACAAATATTTGCACTAAAAAAAAGAAATAGTATTTTTCAATTCACCTAGTACAAGTACTGTAGTGCAATCTCTTTATCATGCAAGTTGAACTTACAAATGTAGAATTATGTATAAAAAAACTGCATTCAAAAATAAAACAATATAAAATTTTAGAATCTGCACATTCACTCAGTCCTACTTCTTGTTCAGCCAATCGCTCAGACTAAGTTTGTTTACATTTGCAGGAGATCATGTTGCCCGCTTCTTGTTTACAATGTCACCTGAAAGTGAGAACAGGCAATCGTATGGCACTGTTGTAGCAGGTGTCACAAGATATTTACGTGCCAGATATGCTAAAGATTCACATGTCCCTTCATACTTCAACCACCATTCCAAGGGACATGCGTCCATGCTGAAGACAGGTTCTGCTCGATAACAATCCAAAGCAGTGAGGACTGATGCAGGTTCATTTTCATTATCTGAGTCAGATGCCACCAGCAGAAAGTTTATTTTCTTTTTTGGTGGTTTGGGTTCTGTAGTTTCCACATCGGAGTGTTGCTCCTTTTAAGACTTCTCAAAGCATGCTCCACACCTCGTCCCTCCCAGATTTTGGAAGGCACTTCAGATTCATAAACCTTGGGTCGAGTACTGTAGCTATCTTTAGACATCTCACACTGGTACCTTCTTTGCGTTTTGTCAAATCTGCAGTGAAAGTGTTCTTAAAACGAACAGCAGGTGCTGGGTCATCATCCGAGCCTGCTATAACATGAAATATACGACAGAATGTGGGTGTAAAAGAGCAGGGGACATACAATTCTCCCCCAAGGAGTTCAGTCACAAATTTAATTAACGCATTATTTTTTTTAAAACGAGTGTCATCAGCATGGAAGCATGTCCTCTGGAATGGTGGCTGAAGTATGGAAGGGGCATACGAATGTTTAGCATATCTGGCATGTAAATATCTTGCAATGCCCGCTACAAAAGTCCCATGCAAATGCCTGTTCTTATTTACATTGCCATCAGAAAGCAAGAAGTGGGCAGCATTATCTCCTTTAAATGTAAACAAACTTGTTTGTCTTAGCGATTGGCTGAACGAGAAGTAGGACTAAGAGGACTTGTAGGCTCTGAAGTTTTACATTGTTTTGTTTATGAGTGCACTTATGTAACAAAAAACTACATTTGTAAGTTGCACTTTCAGGACAAAGATTGCATTACAGTATTTATATGAGGTGAATTCAAAAATACTATTTCTTTTATCATTTTTACAGTGCAAATATTTGTAATCAAAAATATATACTTTGATGTCAATTACAACACAGAATACAATATATATGAAAATGTAGAAAAACATCCAAAATATTTAATAAATTTCAATTGGTATTCTATCATTTAACAGTGCGATTAAAACTGCAATTAATCACAATTACATTTTTTAATCGTGATTATTTTTGAGTTAAATCGCATGAGTTAACTGCGATTAATCAACAGCCCTAATATTTAGAACACACAAAAACCTTTCTGTCAGCACTCAAAATTGTGTCACATTTCTAAGGAAGAGGAGCATATTCTTATGTTGTCTTAACGTGAAAATGGCTTTTAATGTTTTCCACAAAGGATTAGTTAAGAGGTATTGATGCAGGCAGAATCAAAATGCTTCAAACATGAAGGGTTGAAGGAAAGGAACCTATATTAGCTGAGATTCCTACAGTTCTACGTTTGTTTTTTCCTGTACACAAAATTAATTTTGAACATGCCTAATATTTAAAAATAAGATAGCAACTGAATAGCTTGCTTGAAGAAACGAATGCCTTACCTCTTCTTGGCGGTCACTTAAATTATAACATGCAAGAACAATGAAATCATTCCACCAGGCTATGCCACCTGTTACGATCATATTTTGCTCCTTAAAATAAAATGAAAGATCAAGCAAGTCAGAACGGTTATAAGCTGCTTACAAATTTCCACAAATCACATAATTTATACATACAAAAATAAATTAATACATAGAGAATTATACACACAGAAAACATAAGAGCCTCCTATAGACTACATATAAAAAAGAAAATCTCCTGTAGATGCCATATAAAAAACAGTATCACTATTAATAGGACAATCTTATTTAGGTATGACATTTTTTAAAAAATAAGTCTTCAAGGGTTGTCAGATGGATATGTGATCATCAAGAACTATTCAACAAAGCCAAGTGCTACATATGGTTCATCAGTGAACGCAGTAAATCTACAACTTTTTAAATCATAGTTGCTTTTTCACTATAGGCCAAAATTTGCAATTTTGGGTGCCTAAAGTTAGGTTTCATACTTGATTTTCAGAGGTGCTGAGCATCTACAACTCCCATATAAGAGCTGAGACATGGATTTAGGAATCTCACTTTAGGCATCCAGGTTTAAATTTTTTTTGCTATAATTCATACATTTTACTGCCAAGTTTGTTCCAAACTATAATACTTTTCATGTGTTTTATGTCAAGACATGCAAAACCAGCTTCCCTAATCTGTCTTCAAGAAATTCATTTGAAAAAATATGATTTGGTAGAAAACTAAAAATATGTTCAAAATATTGTGATTATAATAAACCTGGTTAAATTGCACACAAGCTTATAAAACTAGTCAGCACTCACCTGGGTAATGTTCCCAAACAGCTTCCATTTTTTGGTGAGTAAAGAATAATGTGCAAAACCAAACTTGCCAACAACAGCTACATTCTGCCCCAGCTTGTCAATGGCTGAAAACTGTTCAGACAAAAATTGGGGGCGGGGGGAAGGAGAGAAACTATTGTTCAGAAATCTTTCAAAAATTGCATACTTCTATTCAAGATGATCAATACTTTAGCAATATTAATATACTCAACTTAAAACTTGAAAATTGTCTGAGTACTAATGTTCTCTACAATACTTTTGAATAAATGACATTTTTCTTTTAAATACATAAATTGCTTTGATTTAATACAGTGGCAATCTCACCCTATAACAAGAACAATTATAAAAACCTAATGTTTGCATTTTTCATCAAGCACCAACCTATTTTTAAGTAACTCACCCTTATAGGCCAGTTGCTCTCTAGATATGTACTGTGAATCTAAAAAAAAAAAAAAAAAAAAAAAAGAATATAATACAGATCACTGTTCTGAGAACAAATTGAAAAGATAAAAATTCACACACTTTAAGGGACATACACAGTCAACATTGTTTCTTTTATCTATTTTTAGTTTCATAACATTCTGGTTTGTTCACAGCCACTGGAGTTTTTTTCACCACCACAATTCTTCCCTCACTCCACTCTTTCCAATACATTTTAGAATTATATAAACCCTAGAAAACAATTTTAACAACATATTTTAAGCTTGTTTTCCAATTTTCTTTGCTTTGATTAAAATATGTAAAAATCTACTAATAGTGCGTTACAGGGGCAAAATATTTTTTTTTGTTAAGATTTTTTTCCCCTTCAAGCAGTTGATTTTTTTCCATCAATTGAAGAGTTGTCAAGGGAAGATTCCATTCAGTAAAATCATCTGTTATGCATGGTTTCTTCAGCCATCACCTCCAGGAATCAAATTTTCTTGGATTTGTACTGACATAACAAAAGAAAAAAAAAAAAAAAACCTATTCTGACTCAATTAATTTGCCTTTTTTTCACTCCTGAATAGTTTTATTTTGCACAGAATGTATATGCTGTTATGTTCTTCTCATAAAATGAAGATGGTAAAATTCTATTAGTCTGTATACAAACTGCAGCACAGCAAACTAGTGGCAAGAAGAGTAACTAGAACTATGGCTATAGGGAAGGGAAGGATTTTGTTCTCTAATACAGATGTCTGAAATATCTGTAGTTTGATTTATGGTTTCAGTGATTACATTTCTTGGTCAGTTACCTAGCTGTCTTAAATTGGCTTCAACTTCTGCCACAGACAAAAATGAGATTTAGTATGGAATATCAATAAGTTTCTTTTTGCTAAAACTCAAATTATCCTACTTGGGGAATAATGAGAAGACTTCCATTCCCATCTGCAATTTATAAGGATATTAACCATAATTTCAGACAAATTTAGGATGTTCACTGTAACCCATCAGGTAAACATTTCACAAGACAACTACTGTCTCAACCTAGGTTTGAGGTAAATTATAAATTTCAAGGCACAAGTCTTCCAGAGTTAGATTTTAACTTTTGATTCTTTTGACATGAAAGTCCAAGGGGTTTGGAAAGTGGCTGGCATTTGAAATGAGAAAAAGGTTGAACTTAGGAAGATACTGAATTGATAACAACCAACGACAGCAAAAGCTAAAAGACTCAATGCAAGCAATTTATAAAAGCCTCCAGCTCCTTTCCAGATAGGGAGTTTACTTACTCAGTATTCTGTTACCTGAATGATCCAAAGTCTTATCGAATTAAGTTTTACTGTCCATAAGAAGATATAGTAGCTCTTTGGCCTGGTCTACACTACGGGATTAATTCGGATTTAGCAGCGTTAATTCGAATTAACCCTTCACCCGTCCACACAACAGAGCCATTTAGTTCGAATTAAAGGGCGCTTTAAATCGATTTCTGTACTCCACCTCGACGAGCGGAGTAGCGCCAAAATCGATTTTGTTAATTCGAATTAGGGTTAGTGTGGCCGCACACCACCGAATTAATGTGATTAAAATAAATGGGGTAGTGTGGCCGCACACCACCGAATTAATGTGGTTAAAAACCGAATTAATGTGCTTAGTGTGGCCGCGCACAATCGAATTTATACAATCTGTTTCCCAAATTCGAATTATCTAAATTCGGATTAATCCTGTAGTGTAGAGATACCCTTTAAATAGAAACCAATCAAAGCTATTTTGCAGGACACAGTACTGCAAGAGAACTTTTATCCTGTAAATTTTCAACTTGAATGAGTTTAGGCAAGAGAAAAATGTATTTGGTTTAAGCACCAAATAAGATCATTCAATTCTTGAAAGGATTCAAGGCCTGTATTTTTGTAACAAGTTAAACCATTATGAAGATATTTTTGTCAGTTGGATACATTTCTCTAATATCAAGTACGCTGTCTGGTCTTCCTTACACTCTTACTACTCATTACCAACTGGCAATTATGCCTCAGCAGATAAACTAGGCCAATGGGGGTGAAGACAGCAGTTGTCTGAGTATTCCTGCTATTACCTGTGTGTAAAGGCCTATTAAACAGATCTCAGCCTAGATTGGTGTTTATTCTACAGTTCTTCTCCTGTGTAACATTCCTTTTCATTTCTGAGTGCAGTGAAGAAACAGAAGAAAAGGACCAAATTCCTCTGTGCAAAGTCTACTAGGACAGTCTGACTGAAGCTACTGCTCTTATCATATGAGCAACTAAACCATCAGCCAAAATAATTCAAATGAAACTGCTTCCCTAGATGAGGTAGTTTTCATTAAAGGCAAGCAGATACATTCTAAATTAGAGTCAGATTAGAAACCCACATAAAAAACACTCTCCAGGTTCTGCAGATTATTTGTTTTAAAAGGCATCAGTTTGTAAAATATCATGGGTTAATGACTGTAATTAGTCATAAAAAGCCAAAAAGCCAGGAAAGATGTGAGGGGCGTAGAGGCTTTTTAAATCAGACTTGTGCTCTAATCTGTGGAAAGTACTGCATCAAAAACTTTCATAAAGATAGTATACAAAAAAAAGTAAGTGGCACATGAAACAAAACACTAGGGCTAATGCTGGTATATGGATCTCTAAGGTTTTGACAGCACCTGGAACCTGGTATAGATGTCGGTGCCTAATGCAGCCTGATAATCATGCTGATGTAGACGCTGCACGTACAATAAGTTAAATCCTGTCAATTTTACTAAAGTGTCATCCTCAGTTTTAGTGAAATCCATAAAGCAGATATGTAAGCAGGAAACTGTGTCTAAAATTATGGATTCAAAATTATCTAAATTGTTCCTCACTGCTGGAATGAGTAAGCCTGATGGGCTTTGGTCTTAACACCTTCTGGAAACAGCTTCTTGGCAAGCTATGAAACTATAAAGTGGTTTCAACTCCTCATCTAAACAAACAGTTCGCATGTATTGCCAAAACCCTGAAGCTGTCTGCAATAGACTAATCTTTAAATCTGTCTATATGGGCATTAGAAACTTCATATATTCTACAGAGTATTTCGTACCTCCAACATCCCCAATGCTCCTTCAGGGGAAGAATTTATATGTGGGAAAAAAATAGCTCTCTCTCATGAGGTCAGAAAAAGGCATTTTAATCCCTTGATTGGCTAGGATGCGAATCCACAGCTGGAGGGAAAAAGGCCAGCCAGAATTCTTTTGACCTTCGGGGAATAACAAGCTGTATCGTGGGAGCAAGCAATAGGAAACAGGAGGACAAGGAGATTTCACACTATATGAAACAAATACAATACTTGCAGAAGGGATAAAAACAAAAACAGACACCACCAGGTTCAGGTGATAGCAAGTAAGTGCAAAAATACTATTTGAGTAACAAATGGAGAATTACCTGTACAACATGCCAATGCCTGTGTCCTAATAAAGTGCTTAAACCCTGAGAATCTAAACTGCCCTCCAAAAATGGGCCCCTTTCCCTGATGGGCTTATGACCAGAGTGTGCTGAAGCACTTCTGGGATTCTGGGCCTGTGTTGCATCCCCACAGTTCAAATACAAGCGATCTTCTCCTTGCAGGAGGACCTGCTCCTGGTTACTCTATAGTTAAAAAAAAAAAAAAAAAAAAAAAAAAAAGTTACTGCATAGAAAAAATAAAATAAACACAGAACACTTCATTTCGCAGAGTCCAACTTAAACCAACAGTAAGAAAAATATGATTTAAGGCAGTTCTTCCATCTTTGAAGCAGCAATATACTATAGAGATAGCAAACAGTGGATGATCATATACAGCAGTATTTTCAAAATATCTCCTATTTCAAAAGCCGATTTTGCTTAATTAGAAAGACACACTTAAGACAAGAGAAATATACACAAACATGACAATTTATTGGAAAACACGTCAGGCTTCACTTTATAAAGGAAGAAACATAAAAAAGGTTATCTGAAAACTGGGGATAATCTCTAAAATAGTAAGATCCATCTATGAACACGTACCATGCAAGTGTTAGCAGTGAGTGCACTCTTGATGAACTGAAATTGCAGAATACCAAGTTGATGAGCTTCGTTCTTGGTATCTATATCACCATCACCCCCTGCATTCAGAGAACAATTCCCATCGATCACCCATAGGTGATAGCCTTCTGAACCCCAGCTCTGAACACATGCAAAACAAAAAATAAATAAATATCACTTAATTGATTTAGACCGTCAGAAAAACAAAACATACAGGAACTCCCTTTATACAAATCACCCAGGGTCTTGGGCCAGCCATAAGACTGGAAGGGAACTCCCATAGCTTGCAGTTTTCAAGTCAGCAGCTCCAGCAGATATAGCATAGCTACTCCTGGCAGGGAAGACACTTCAGTGCCCAGTTTAAATTCTTCTCTATGCAAAAGCTAGAGAATATAGAATTTGGAAAAATTAAAAAAAAGATTAAAGCACCCCTAAATTATAACTTTAAGAGGAAGTATGTAGGTGAATGATCTGTTAAACATATCCCTGTGATCTATGAATATATAGTTCATATTAAGTAATTTTATTTTGTATACAGTATCAGTTGTAACAGATCAAGTCTTTCAAAAGCACTAAAAGCATTTCTAGAAAGGTAAAGATTAAAAAATGGTACTGCAAGAGGCAACTGAAAAGCAGACAGCATAGGAACATACCATGACTCAAAGTCAATAACTGGACAGCCACCACCAGCATTTGATTTTGGGTGTTTTTTTGTTAAAAGTAAACCTTCATATAGATCCATCTATCTATCGATCTTTATGATAAAAAATATAATGTAGACAGTGATTAATGTTTGCTGAGCAATCTTTCTTTATTGTCTCTAGGCTCTTGTGTTTAATTTCTCAACCTCAATGCTGCATTAATGCTAGTTATTTGCATTTAAAATACATGCAGACTTCAAATGTTCTGCAGGAGACAGTAGAAAGGCTATACAGAAGACTGGACATTTTCATTGCCCAAGTTAATTAGTAAACATGTGCCTGGACAGAAGGCACATCACACCAATCAACCAATGGAAGATCTCCCATTATCTGCAGTAACAAAGGAACAGTTGGTTGGCAGTGCTAAGAGCTGCTGTGGTTTCACTGCAGAGATAGTGCATGAAAAAACCTGCTGGACCCAGTGGCTTTAACACTAAGCAATTGGGGTTTTCCTCCATGTGTCATGCCAGGAAGCACAAACCCAAGACTGGAAATCTGTTACAGGTAGATACTTTTGGAGAAACAAATGTTTATCTTCACTTTAACTACTCTCAAACTCTGAAATGCTTTTTTGAAAAATGGGCACCTTACCGACAACGGTACCAATATTAAAATTAACAAAGTATCTCTTGCATAAGCATCTTTCTCCCACTTAGCTTAACTGTTAGTCTGCAAAAATCTGTCTTAGCATCGTAATGCCCCATTGCTCTGAATGGCATCTTAGGCACCAGTTATGTTAGGTCCTTTTGAAGCAACGCATTTCCAAGATTTATCATTATGAATTCTAAAATATATATTTGTGATATCTGTGTCAGGGGATTATCACCTCCATTGGCAGGGGATGGACTCAGATGTATAGATCTTTTCCATGTCTAAGTTCTATATTCCTATTTCATAAATATGAATAGTAATCTGTAGTTAGAACTTCAAAGGACAAGTACATATGTAACATTTGCTAAATAGAAAACAAATGATTAAAGTAGTCCACATGTTAAAGGCTTCATACCCAAAAAACACTGTTTAGCCCGCTGGTTTAAATCCCTAATAAAACACCGTAAAACTAACAGTAAAATCCTGCCGCCCCTCCCCCTGAGTCAATGACACAACTCCCACTGACTTCAGGATTTCATCCTAGACCTTCAGAAAACCCAGCTAGTATGTCATCTCCTCCTAACAATATATAGACATTTATATCATTTTCTGATGTCTGCACATATCCCATGACCAACTCAGTTGCAGGGATGGCATTTTTATAAATTTTCAATGGGCCATTTTCATCCTTATGGTGCTGGTCTCCTCTCTAGGACTCCCATTTTATAGATGGGAATGAGGTAGAGAGAGGCTAAGTGACTTGCCCAAGATCCCACAGAGCAGAGCAGGGAAGTGAACCTGGGTCTCCCATGTCCCAGGCCTGTGCCTCAGCAACAAGTGATCCTCCTCCCCAACCATTTTGTGGTACATATTCCAAAGCTACATACAAAATGGAATATGAATTTTGATGGTGTTAAGACTTTAAACATAACTCAATACTT